TGGGTTTTACTCTAGACCCTAAACCCTAAACCTAAGATGTTTAAGGGTTCTATAAGGATTTGCTGGGTAGTATCTAGACGTTCTTTTGGGTTTTTTACAAAGTTTCTACTAACTCTGTGCTTTATCGGTTTAGGTTTTCGACTGCAGGGCGCCGTAGGTTGTCATGAGGGCTCTGACCCCCTAAACCCCAAGAGTGAACCTACCCTTGCCCAAGAAAGAAGGCCCTGAACCCTGGAAGCCCTCTAAACCCTAAGCCCCATAAGCCTTGAAAGCCCTAAACCCCCAAACCCTATCAACCTTAAACCGTATATAAACCCCAAACCCTATAAACCCTGAACCCTATAAACCTCGCTTGGCATGTCGAGTTGTACGACAGCCTAACCCTTAGCCCTAAACCCTAAACACCCTAAGCCCGATCATACTTACAAGCCCTATACTCTATAAGCGTTATAAACCCTGTAGAACCTAGACCCTATAAACCCTACACCCCATAAACCGTAAATCCTACCCTAACCACGAATAACCTCCCTTTCTTTAAGGGCTGGTATAAGGAAGTCATAATATGTCATAATAAACCCTGAGAAGGTAGTTTCTTTATCCTAAATTCTTGGTTCTTGGTTTTTTTTCTGCTTCCTCGAGGGCGCCACCCTGTAGCAGATGCGTCCATCAGCATCTCGATGCCCTGAGCTTGTCCTTTAAGAATTCTACAGTACGTTAAAGGATCATCGGACTTAGTAACTAGGGTTACAAATGATGTAACCACACCTATAATTACTTATAGCCCCAGTTAAAGTACTTATAACCTTACTTACTGCGTCCCAGGATCCTCCAAGTAACCTCTGTATGGCTAGCTACTTTCTGCGCATCGCCTACAAACCCTAGACCTTAAACCTGCAAAAGTGGTACAAACCTCCAAACTCGGAAACTGAAACTGCCCGCGAGCAACGTAGAATCTAGGAAAGGTTCAGGATCAACAAATCCTACGTACAGTTTAAAGTCTAGGTCGCAGGGATGAGATTCGACTACGTGTATCCCCCAACCCTACAAAGTTACCCGATGCTTCCAAGGACCTTATAGTTAGGGCCCTAGCTCTCTTAAGGACCCAATAATAAGGTCCCTGGAAGCTTCGGGTTATATATATATATATATATATACATATTTTTTTTTTGACCCCATAGTTATCAAAGGTCTAACCCCGATAACAGTAGGCTTTTGGATCCCCAGGTAGGGGTTGCAGTGGCACAACCCAACATCGGAAAGTCGAACGGCCAGAACCCTAAACTTGTGAAACCTCAGTCTTGACATATCCTCATACATTTCACCATCGTGTTACAAGAAAATCCCGAAGCTGTGGGTCACAGCTCTTGTGTTTGCTTGTGTTGTTTTCTTGTGCACCTTGGGCCTGTGTTTGTAATGAAGCGGGTTGTCTTGCTGGCTGTGTTTGGCCGTTGTCGAGTGGTTGTGCTGGTCGCGTTGTTGTTTGAATTGTTTTTCTTTGTGCAGCAGCTGTTGCTCCTGTATTTTTATCCGATGTGCTAGTCGTTCGTCAAATGTTGAAGCTCGTGTTTCCGGTTCGCGGTTTCACCCGAAATCCGTAGAAGCGAAGAGAAATGTACTGAAGTGTGCCCTATAACCTCGCTTCGTGACCCGCTCAGCCATGCACGAGGCAAAAAAAAGCATAAATGCCAACACCCTAAAGCCTAAACCCAAAGTCATTTAGATAATCATGTTTGGCGGGTTCGGATTTCAAAGTTTTCGGATTAGGGAGTTCGTGTCGCCTGAAGGGCCTGGACTGCGCTGCAAATCCTTGAATCCTAAACCTCTATACATTGTTTACGAAAATATAGCATAATATAGCACAGTATAACAGAAGAACAACTATAAAGCCATATGCCACACTGCATTGGGCTGTACTGCTTTCAAACCTCGAAGCATTTGACCCTGTTGCCTTTAAGCTCCAGAGAATGAAACCATGGCTAAACCTGTCATGCAACAAGGCAGTAATTCTGGGCATTGGCAGATCGGATGGCCGAAAGACGCTCCTGGTGATGCTGGAGCATAGGAGCTGGCACATCTTTCCCTCTCATTGAGGGACCTGAGAAAGAAGAATGGTGGAGGGTTCAGTTTAGGATAAAGGTCTTGACATTGGGGGTTTTAAGGGTTTGGGCTTCCGCATTATTGTGGTTTAGTTTACGCCTTTGGAATGTAGGGCGCGGGGGTTTCTGTTTCGGAAAAGTTCGAATGATTGTAGGGTGCACAGAAAGACACTCACGGAGCCCGGGGGAAGGGGTAATGGGGGCCTTAGAAGCAGGCTAACTAACCCTAATTCCAAACCCGAAGCTCTAAGCCCTAAAGTATCCCAAACCTTGGCCAAGCCCCAAACGAAACCCGTCTCACTAGACTCGATGCTGAACCGTGGTTGGTGGACGGGCTATCGGACTCAGTCAGTTTGGACCGTATATAACTCTCAAAGGCAAGAGCCTTGCTGGCACTCTTACAACAAGTCTAACAGGCGCAGGCAGCTTGCAGCGATTGGTTTGCCCGCCACCACAGAAGTCATCTTTCGCATGCAGTACGGTGAGACCACTTAGGTAGTTGTCAAGGTTAAGGTCCCTTTTTGGGAACCCTAAATAATGTGCCGGTCGGTTTAGGAATATGGGCTCTTTTAATGCGTTTTTTCCGGTGCTAATTCCGACCGGTCGCCCCTTTTTGGGTGTGGTCTAATTAATGCGTTTTTTTTTGGCTGGTGGGATTTTTTGGTGGCGGGGCTGTGCTATTTGCTGATGGTCAATCTCAAGGCAGCCACGATCTAAACCCCCACCCAAACCCACACCCAACCCTAAAACCCTGGCCCTGAAGCCCCAAAATCTCTTGCAGAATTGTTTCGCTTATTGGGGCGTCAGGAATGGGAGTCTGTACTACTACTGTACTACTATTGTACTATTGTACTGCTACTGTATGCCTTGCTTATTGGGGGGGGCTGCTAGGGTGAACCGCCGAATCGGGGATTGGACCCTAGCTCAAAAGAGGCCTCTCCAGTACTAAAGTTTGTATAAAAAATTCAGTTTTGGGTCCAATCTGGACCGACCCCCCTTTGGAAGGGTTTAGGGCTTAGGGTTTAGGGTTTGTTATAGGGTTTAGGAGTTTAGGATTCGTTAGGGTTTAGGGTTTGTTAAGGTTTAGGGTTCAGGGTTTAGGGTTTCAGGCGCTGGCTTTATGCTTTGCTTATTGGGGGAATGTGCTCACTGGCTTTATGCTTTGCTTATTGGTACTATTTCTGTACTATTACTGTATTACTACTGTACTACTGTACTACTGTGGTACTACTACTGTACTACTAGTGTACTACTGTACTACTATTGTACTACTACTGTACTATTATCGTACTACTACTGTACTACTATTGTACTACCAGTGTACTACTGTTGTATTACTATTGTACTACTGCACTATTATTGTACTACTACTGTACTACTACTGTACTATTATTGTACTACGGTACTATAATCGTACTACTACTGTACTACTACTGTACTACTATTGTGCTACTATTGTACTACTGTACTATTATTTATTGTACTACTACTGTACTACTATTGTACTACCACTGTACTACTGTTGTATTACTATTGTACTACTGCACTATTATTATACTACTACTGTACTACTACTGTACTATTCTAGTATACCTTGATTAGTGGGGGGGGATTGGACCCTAGCTCAAAAGAGGCCTCTCCAGTACTAAAGTTTGCATAAAAAATTTAGTTTTGGGTCGAATCTGGACCGACCCCCTTTGGAAGGGTTTAGGGCTTAGGGTTTAGGGTTTGTTATAGGGTTTAGGAGTTTAGGATTCGTTAGGGTTTAGGGTTCAGGGTTTAGGGTTTCAGGCGCTGGCCCAGACCCCCCCGACCCCCGACGGCGCAGTCGCGCAGAACCGCAGACCCTGCACCCAAGCCCCCAAACCCCCACCTCCCAATTCCCTGCCACTCAGACCCCTGACCCCTGTCCGGGGCTACCGGTACCAAATTAAAGAGACCAAAAAGTTTTGGTCGGGGGGGGGGGGGGGTACCCTATCACTAAACCGACCTCCACATTAATAGGTGCCGTAGTATAATAGGGACCCAAAAAGGCACCATAATTTTGACAACCACCCACTTGGATGTTGAGGCTCGGCAGAGTTCAGTGTAGAAGGTTCAAGAACCTTTACAACACCAGCGTTGCGCAACTCCTGTTGTGAAGCCAGTCGGTCGGTGTAAGTCTTACAAAGCCTCACAATCGCTAGCCTACAACAATGTTACCCGAAACCATAAGCTTAGGCTTAGACGTAAACCCCAAACTGTGCTTGGGCTTGCCATGCGGGAGCCGAGAAGAACCAAAGCCTTCCTTGGTCAGGACCTGGAAGGTTTCATTGGGTACCGGTAGCCCCTAAACCCCGAACCGCAATGCCAAAAATACCTCATCTTCGGGGTCATGCGATGCTAAACCTTCCAACATAGTAGGTTATTACCCTGAATTCCCGTAGCTTGTAGAGGGTAGAACCCTTAAAACGGTGGGCTCAGGGATCCCCAGATAGACTTGCATGTCGATCCATGTTCATGTGCTTGTCGCCTCGTTGCGTCCTAACTCATGCACGTGTGCATAACCGGTCACAGGCACCCGGCTCACTGGCTCATTCGACATGGGCATGCTCCTGCATCCCTGGATAACTCCTACCCTAAACTCATACTGGAGCCTCCGGACGATGAATAGCAAAATCTTTCACAGCTTGAAGCGCTAGACCGTGACATGGATTTCGAGGTCCCGGCGGTGCACCATCTTCCAAAATTAGACTTCGGCAAGTTCTACCTGTGGCCCCAAACCCTACAAAATATAGGTTATGACGCCATAATTAGAGGGTAATTAGACCCCCTCAAGCGGTAGGTTTTCGGATCCTAAGGTATGTGTGTATCTGTCCACACATCACTTGCTAAGCAACTCGATGTGGCGCGGACCTGGAGCCAATGACGTGGCAATCAGGTGAAGGCCAGCCGTACTCCTCCGCGTTGTGTGCATCTCAGACCTTCCAAAATCCCTTGATTAAGGAATATACCTCGAAACATATGTTAGGGATCCTACTATAATGTATTTTAAAGGTACATTCCTGCATTGAGGGTTTTGGGAGGTCTGGACTTGTTTCAAAGTTGCAAATGCAGAGTGCTCCTTTTTTGTGTGCATGGAGGGCTCCGTAAAATGAGGCCGGCGAAGCCATGGGTTCAGTACCAATAGCCTTCCTGGCAAGAAGACGGCGGTAACCCTATCCATGATTTCGGCAATTACCGCGAGAAGCCACATGCAGAAAAAAGACAAGCTGCTAAGAATCTAGAACCACAAACATGAACAACAGCTGCAAGAAGGCTTAACCCTGAACCCAACCATGTCATCCGAAGGTAGAATGCCACTACAAGGGTTGAAGCACAACAGAACATTTCTCGGTGTGCAGCATGGCGATTAGCGTGGAAATTGGGCTGTTGAGCGGAAAGAAAGCCACAGTGAAAGCAGGCTTGGACGAAGAGGTGGAAACTTTGATTACTCAGGCGCAGGCAGCATTTGGAGTTGGAAGAGGGCGGTTGGTGGACTCATGCGGTGGTTTTCTGGATGCATCTGTGAAGATCAAGCATGCCAAAGTGCAAAATGGTGATTTCCTGACTCTGCACATAAGCCGAATACAAATATGTGCCACCGAACGTGCGTTTGCTGCCATTCTAGGCGATGGCTCTGTCGTGACCTGGGGTGATGCAGTCCGTGGTGGTGACAGCGCGGAAGTGCAGGATCAGCTGAAGAATGTGCAGCAGATCCAATCCTCTGAGTCTGCTTTTGCGGCCATTCTTGGAGATGGATCCGTCGTGACCTGGGGTGATGTTACCTTTGGTGGTGACAGTAATGCTGTGCAGGCCCAGCTGAAGGATGTGCAGCAGATCCAATCCTCTGAGGCTGCTTTTGCTGCAATTTTGGCTGATGGATCCGTAGTAACTTGGGGTCATCCTGGCCGTGGTGGTGACAGCAGCGCTTTGCAGGGTCAGCTGAGGAATGTGCAGCAGATCCAAGCCACTCGCTATGCTTTTGCTGCCATTCTTGGTGATGGTTCGGTCGTGACCTGGGGTGATGCTGGAGCCGGGGGTGACAATAGTGCTGTGCAGGATCAGATGAGTAATGTGCAGCAGATCCAAGCCACTGGCTTCGCTTTTGCTGCTATTTTGGGTGATGGATCCGTATTGACTTGGGGTGTTTCTCACTTCGGTGGTGACAGTAGTTTTGTGCAGTCTCTGCTACAGAACGTGAGGCAGATCCAAGCCTCTTCCGGCGGTTTTGCTGCCATCCGTGGCGACGGGTCGGTCGTTACATGGGGGGATGCTGACTATGGTGGTGACAGCAGTGCTGTGCGGGGCCAGCTGAAGAATGTGCAGCGGATCCAAGCCACAGGTAGCACTTTTGCTGCCATTCTTGGCGATGGATCTGTCGTGACCTGGGGTCATCGTGACCGCGGTGGCGACAGCAGGGCTGTGCAAGATCAACTGAAGAATGTGCAGCAGATCCAAGCCTCCAGAACTGCTTTTGCTGCCATCCTTAGTGATGGATCCGTCGTGACCTGGGGTGCTGTTTACACTGGTGGTGACAGTCGATCTGAGCAGCATAAGCTTAAACAGGTGCAGCAGGTCCAAGCTGGTCCTGAGGCTTTCGCGGCCATTCTTGCTGATGGCTCGGTCGTGACCTGGGGCCATTCGAGGGCTGGTGGATACAGTAGCACCGTGCAGGCTCGACTCAAGAACGTACTGCAGATCCAGTCCACCGATGGTGCTTTCGCTGCAACTCTTTGCGACGGCTCTGTCATAACCTGGGGTGCTGGTCGCCATGGCGGCGACTGCAGCACCGTGCTGCATCAGCTGAGGGTTGGAGCCCAAGAAAGCACATAAGCATAAACTTTCCAATGCAAGATCCCCGGGGGGTAGGTGTGTTGGTGTGCATATATCGTGTTGGGCGCATCGGAATATGCGGCTACTTCCAATGCCTTCGATTGCGCTTTTGCTGCTGCCACTCTTGGCAATGGTCCTGACGTAAGCCGGAGTCATGGTGGCTGTGGCGGTGAAAGTACTGCCGTGCAGGATCACCTAAAGACTGTCCAGGTAAAATCCTTAATTCCTAAACCATACACCACACTTGGGGCCGTTTACTACTTGTCACAGGCTGAAGCTCTTCATAGCGCTCCTATCAGCCGTAGCACTTTCACTCTGTGGTCAGTGTGTTGTTTTGCAGTGGTGTTGTTAGAACGGGTTTAAGGCTAAAGGTTTCCGGGGGTCGGTGTTTGACACGATTTTTGCGCACCATAGCGGCTCGACCCGGAGCCAGTGGCAGTGAGGCTTTAGCATGCAGTAATCCCAAACACTACCCTTCTCCCCCAAATAGCCCAAAATAGGTACCATTTATAGACCTTAGACCGCAATCACGATTTATAGACTTGGATACCTAGGGATAGAGCCCCTGTATAGAGGGCCTTTAAGAATCGCTAGAGAAGCTCTTGGAGCAACCCTTACAAAGGGGCGCTTGGGGATTAGGGATCAGGGCACTAGGGTGCTGCACACTATGCAGAAGCCTTCTCAGCCCAGGTGCCTCGACAGGACCTAGAGAGGCCCCTTACCGATTAGGGTTTAGTTTAGGGTTTAGGGGTTTAGAGTTTAGGGTTTAGATCGATTAGGGTTTAGGGTTCAGGGGTTAGGGGTTCCTGGCATACGCGTAGTCCAGGTGCAAAAAAAGGGTTAGGGGTTCATGGGACTCAGTAACAAGAGTTTTAAACAAGGTAACCATACGTATAAGCATTCATAATCCCAGTTTTGGTACTTATATAGCTATACCTATGAACCTCCATGTAGGACACGTTGGGCATGTGAAGGTTCATGAGTATGTACTATGTACAGCATCTTAGAGTTTAAAGTTTTGGTCACCTGAGAGTTTAGGTTTTGGCATAGCTGCGTTGAGTACATGTTGACTCTAACTTTCTGTGGGTGGCAATTCCTTGCCGGCTTCTGTGAGTTCTTATAACAGGATAAAGGGGCGTAGGGTTTCAGGCGTATATAGTGGGTTGCAAGTAGGGTTGCAAGTATGAGTATCATAAGGATGCGACCGGCGACGTCTAACTGCACTTGATCTGAGTATTCACCGCAAGATTTCAAGGGGTCTGCCTGACGTACAGTCAAGGGTCCGCTTAGGGTTCGTATGCCTTGCTGCACAGGGGGTTGTTGGAGTCGAGAAGCCACGTAAACCTGAAACCCAGACCTTGGGTGTCTTTACGACACTATTGAGCCCAAGCAAGATCCTATACTACCCAAGGATTTTAGGCGGTTTGGAAGCCCCTAAACCCTGCCTGGACCCCAAGTAACCTACCTTTTTAAGGCCATATATATATATATATATATATATATATATGTAAGCAAATGATAAGATCCTATACTACCCAAGGATTTTAGGCGGTTTGGAAGCCCCTAAACCCTGCCTGGACCCCAAGTAACCTACCTTTTTAAGGCCATATATATATATATATATATATATATGTAAGCAAATGATAGTAGGGAGCCCCAAAAAGGAAGGTTTCCTAGAGTCCAGGTAGGGAAAAAGACTTATGCCACGCAGGCCGCGGCAAAGGGCACAGGTGCGGGGACTGAGGAACTTGTAGATCTGGGCGGTTGTCAAAATTATGGCCCCTTTTGGGTACCCTAAATATTAGGTGCCATATAATAATATAATAATAATAATAAGAATAATAATATAAAAAATAATAATAAAAATACTAATAATAATACTAATAAAAATAATATTAATAAGAATAATAATAAAAAAAAAAATAAAAAATAATAATAATGATAATAAAAATAATAACAAAAATAATAATAATAATAAAAATAATAATAATAATAATAATAATAATAATAATAATAATGATAATAAAAAAAATAACAATAAAAATAATAATAATAATAATATTAATAAGAATAATAATATAAAAAAAATAAAAATAATAATAATAATAATAATAATAAGAATAATAATAAGAATAATAATAAGAATAATCATAAGAATAAGAATAAGAAGAATAATAATAATAAGGACCCCAAACGGGACCCTGATATTGACAACCAGCCATCTGGTGCTGGATTTCTCATTTGATTTGAACCCCCAAGGGTCCAAAGGACCCAATAGTTGGGTACTCGTTTTTAGGAAAGTAGCTATGTAGGTTAGGATCTTGGGGAGTATATGATTATTAGGTACTTGAACCCTTCGGGAATTGTTCAGGGGCTTTCATTTAGAAATTCGACTGATCCTGCACCCCATAAGCCAAGGCTTTCTGAGTCGTTGCCGTGTTGTTTGTTTTCCGGAGTCTGTTAATCCGCAGATGGCTTCTCCTTCCTGGCTTCGTTCTCCGAGCTTGTCCGTAGCCGCCCTAAACTGTATGCCATAGTCTTGGTGTTCGTTTTCTTTTGCTCTTGACTTTGCCGGTGTTGCTCTGAAGTTCGAGGCCTTGGCTTCTCTTTGGCTGTTGCTGCTTTGGGGGTTAGGGTTTAAGGTCCGGATGTTGCTTTGTATGGTTGTCTTCAGGGGTTGTTCATGGGTCTCTTCAGCAATCGTAAACCCTTAACCCTAAACCCCTAACTTAGGGGGGTTGAGGGTTTAATGGAGTTTAGTCTGTTTCCGTGTAAGCCATGAGGGTGGAAAGTTTAGGGTGTAGATCATACCCGAACCCACTCCAATATCCCTTAATTCAGGAATATACTTTAAAATATATTAGAGGTCCTACTATGATTTTCTATTTTGGGAGTTTCCCAAAATAGGGGACCCCAATATAGTACCCTAAATAGTCGGATCCTTATTATAAGGACCCCAAAATAAGGTACCCCTCATTTTCGGAAACTCCCATATCACTTAATGCAGGGGGATGGGAGTCTCTGGGAAGCTCTACTTGGAAGGGCAGGGGACTTAGTAAGTAGGTTATAAGTAGGGTTACCCTAAATGGAGTTACCCCAATTATAACCCTACTTAGAACCTACTTACTAAGTCCCCTGCCCTTCCAAGTACTTTACTTTCATGGAGGGAGACACATCTTCGAAAGGGCGGCATTCTCGGATCATGGGACTCAGTCGTTACGCTTATATCGGTTATATCATATGTGGGGTAGCCTATACTCATATCTACCTATACGCCTACTCTGCTACTTATAGCCTATGTGCCTAAGTCCCATGGTCCTCCAAGTATCGGTGACAAAAGAGCGGTGCTCGGGCCGAGAGAGACAGAGAGAGAGAGAGTGTGTGTGGGCATCAAACCCTACTCACAACAGAATTTCTGCAGTCCTTCGCCGGGGAGGGTTTATAGAGGCCACCATGGTCTTTAGTCGCGTCACCGTTGTCAAAGCTCTTCAGTGCTGCATCTCCTCTGCCAGGCCCTACTGGTCGAGCTCCTGGGGCGAGGACTGGTGGGAGGCACACGCATCCAGTTGGATACCCCTAGCCTTACCCCGACCCCCACCTGTACCCCATGCCAACCCCTACTCGTACCACTACCACTGCTACTGCTACTGCGACGACGGCCGAGTGCTACTACGACTATTTCTTCTACTACTACTACTACTACTACTACTACTAGTAGTACTACTAGTACTACTAGTACTACTAGTACTGCTAGTACTGCTAGTACTACTAGTACTACTAGTACTACGACTACGACTACTACTACTACTACTACTGCTACTACTACTACTACTATTACTACTACTACTACTACTACTACGACTACTACCACTACTACTACTACTACTACTACTACTACTACTACTACTACCACTACTACCACTACTACTACTACTACTACTACTACTACTACTACTACTACTACTACCACTACTACCACTTTGCTTTGCTTTGCGATTCGCCAACGCTCAGCAGCGTTCTAGCGTAAGGCCCGGCGATGCATACTTGATTGCATCGGCTTCTCGAAGGAAGCGCGTATTGCCCGAAAAGAAGTCACCTTAGGTGAATGGAGAACACCGCCCCGCTGGGCCAAGCGTGTTCAAATCGAATCGAAAGGAACGCAGATTATGCTCATGAGTGCCGCCCGAGCCGAAGCCCCCGATTGCGACGGCGAGCATAGAACTCTCAGTGATTCCTGTACAAGTGTTACGCGTGAGGACCCCTGCACAATGGTAGCTGAGCCACCTACGGTCAGTCACAACATCACTGAGTACATATGTCGAGGCTCATGTACAACCAATCTCAGAAAATATACAGGTCGCTACCGGCAGATAATCAGAAGATACATCCCGAGAAACCTCGAGGCAGTTATGCACACGAAGCCGAAAAGACTCATAGGACATACTGTATGATGCAGCTGCGAGCAGAGCGCCTCTTCATTGAAGCTCCTGTTTATGAATCCAAACCTCGGTGAGCATGCAAATCATGTGCCACTGATTCGTTGTTGCTAGCGCCACTGGTGCGAAGGTTTGTTTTCCACAGACTCATGCACCGATTGCTCATTCTGGATTGAATCCAGTGTTGTACAGCATCTGTCTCTCATCTGTTGTGAGATTGCATGTATGCTGGCTATGAAAAGCAATCAGAATAAGACGATCGCCAGACCACGGCATGGTAGCATGCTCCACTCCCGGATTGAACCGCACTGGACACTTCACATCAAGCATTCGGCCTTGGGGACCTCCGGCATGTAAAGCGATGGCACCAGTCGAATCTTGCAGCCAAAGTTCTCCTCCCTTCCACTCGCTGCAGGGAACAATCATGATATCATAACGACGATCATTCTGCATGTCCTTGTGTGGCTTTGACAATACGTTCATGGCAAAGGTCACGGCACTGAACTTGAAGGAAAGGTCAAGAGCACGAATGATTCCCGCGAGCAGTGCAGTGGTGTTGGGAGAATCTCTCATTGTTTTCGTGAGGCCGCTAAGGGGACCGCGCGACCATGCACCTGAGTGGAAAGAACTTGCGGGAGCACTGCCAAGCTGAAAATCCGGTTGTTCCCAGCGCAAACCTGAGCGCGCCGGTAGGAGCCGGCACAAGCGTGTGAGTTGACTCCACATCACATAGCCCTTCTCAAGACACATGCACGCAATGACTTCATGATCAACCTCTGGCTCCGGCATCGGTATAGTACTCAACGCAACCTTCACAAGGTAAATCTTGCTATGGAGGTAGAGGTCCAATAACCCAGCACCCTCACCGTAGAGAGAAGGCGCGATGAAGGCTGGCTCGCGCTGCGCACTAGGCTGATGATCATGATCCGAGGGTTGGAATGAAAATGCCTCCAACGCAGATTGCATCTCATCATCACTCATGCTCTCGTCATCGCTGATGCAATGGGTCGCCATAGGAGCACAAAGCACCGACTGCAGGCAATCACTCTCTCCGCTAAGACAGCAAAAAGTGGCCTTAACCACGTGACAATGAGCCCGCATGCGGAGAAGAAGTTGATCCATTGAGCGTGTGGTAAAAGTACCCAGTCAAGACAATGCAACAGCTACCGAGGGTAAGCGCACAGCGATCGCAGTATGGAGACTTTGCTGAAAGCCATGTTCATCTGGATGTCTAACAGGTAAAGCCAACACATCGGCCCACTGCATCACAGGTTGATCCAGAGACTCAGTTCCAATCAGCGGCATGCTATGCCAGATCATCGAGGTCTTCGGCTGAGTACCTGCATTCAGACCCAGCTGAGGTTCTGAAGAATCCTGCACCTCACAGGAGGTAGCCGATGGCACCGAGGGAACTGAGGGCAGAGCAGCGGCAACAGAGGGAGCATCATCAGATCGGTCAGCCTCAGGATTGACAGGAGCCGACCCTACCACACTGGATCGTGCTGGCTCTGAACTTCCAGGAAATGGGCCCAAGGCAACCCCCCAATCTCGGCTCGAGAAGGGGGGGTTGCTTTTGCCAGGAAATGGGCCCAAGGCAACCAGGCACTGGTAGCACACGCTGAAGCGATACAAACTGCCAACTCGAGAATGCTGAGAACATTCTGAAGGCAAATTGAGTGTTTTGAACTGATCGCCAGGATTGCGTTCAGCAGCAGACTGCACAAGTGCATGTACCCGGCCCATTGTAGCACGGCCTAGCCGAAGCCGAGCGGGGCATCATCTGAGACTAGATCAAAGGCATCAGGATGAGATCACGATTTGACTCAACATGGAGGCTAGGATATCGCACTGCTTGGTCCCGTAGCGTTTCATCACAACCTGCAACCCAAAATCAAAACCGCAACTACTGATCACGCGTTGCTCAGCTGCTGTGCCAGCGCACTTCTGTTCATGCGCTCCTTGCGAATCTCCAAGCCAGAGAGCTGGGTGGCACCGGTATGGCAAAGCGATTCGATGGCCTCGTACAGCAAGCGCCCTTCCGGGATGAGCAGGTTGAGCTGCAGCAGGAAGCAGACCGTGCCATCCGCCATGTTATCGCCAATGGGGCGTGTCGGATGAAAACGCACCAATGCGGCTCCGGACTGACACTTCTCACCAATCTGTGCAGCGATCTCAAGCGCTCGCGCCTGCGAGAGACGTGGACCAGCTGGGTTGCCAACCAGTCGCTTTTTCTGGGAATCCCAGCGCGTGGTGAGGAAGTCTTCACCATCCATCCATCCAAGCTTCAGCAACGTTTCTTTGCGACCAGGATTTTGGGGCAGGCTACCAATCCTAGCAATCATCTCCTTCACAACGCATGCGAACAAAGCACATCGCATCGGGTTTGTCAACGAGTCCGGCTTTTCGTTCTTCAACTTGTTCCACGCCGCCTTCGCTGCCACCATCCCCGGAATGATCGAGGAAGGAATGCCGGATCGAACGAACAAGACAAAACTGCATGCCGCGCGCCATATATTGATGGCGTCCTCGTGCCGCAACAGGAGGCGCTGCATCTGCATCACCATATTCTGGAGCCGCTCCACGTCCCTGTAGGAGGGGGCATGATTGTCGCCCCAATTGGAGCCCCAGTTGTCCTGTGCTTTGCGTCGGTAGCCTCCTTGCTGCCTGCCATTTCCACCTCGCCACTCTTGACCATAATCTCCCCCACTCGCCGCACCACGCCCTTTGTTGGGTTTGCCTTCCCCTTTGCCCTTACCGTCCGGTTTGTGCCACTTGAGTTGTCTGTCGTCCAACTCGGCGGCATTTTCCCGGCCCGGAGCCAAGGACTGACTCTGTGTTTGGAGGCCTTCTTGAAAGGAGTTCCACAGTGAGTCCTCCAGCTCTTGAGATAAGGGCTCGGACATCATTGCATCATGGTGCTGAGGCGCCTCCGCGGGGGCGCCCGGTGGGAGAGTCATGCTTCCCTGGCCCGGAGTACGACACAGCAGTTTCAGGACAGTACTCGAGCCATATGATATAGCAGTTTGATTTGTGCTCATCATCCACATGGACGGGCACGGCCTGAATTTGATCATCTGTGTAGAACCATTGGCTACCCTCACTGAGCAAAGAACGGTAGTGCCAAAAATGGGTGTCGGGACCAAGATGGATAGTGACAGACCTGGCTGTGTAGTAATGCCACTCGCACTCGGTGAATGCAGTGAAAACTGGCATGTGGACGCCGGCCTCAAAGCTGATTGATTGTGTGATCTTCTGGGTGTCTGGATACCTGCCCAGTACAAGTACGACGTGACGATGAGCCGATATTAGAGCATGCTTGTGTGACTGAGATTGATGCCAGGCTTCAACGAGATGCTGTAGATCCGTAGCGGCCTCGGGTATCTTTAAATATATCAGGTACTCGCCCTCATCAGGGATCAGGAGCGCACCAGATTGAATGTCCCGAGATTGCCACCCGCTTGTGACATACCCCAGTTGCCTGAGAGCATGGAGCGCAAACTCCGAGGCATCCTTCTATTGGTTGGTATAAGCCCACCCCCGAAAAAGCGACCGGAAAATGAACTGCGTCGATAATGTGAGCGCCGAGCCATGTGGCCGTAGGAGAAGATCCCGAACTTGCTTGATGGCACCGTTGGTTGTGACCTGCTTGGTCATGTGCACCAAGGCGAGCATACAGGAGTTCACATAGCACAGGTTATGTGGGTTGTGGAGGACAACCGCGGTCAAACTCTCAAGGGTCGGCTGAACTGGAATGTTGGGTACATTGCGCGTCGTCGCGTCTGGGTCGACAGCCTTCTTCGCAGCCAGTGTAGCGCTGCCAAAGTCTGTGGAGAGCGGCTTGGCACGTAGAGCCTTCATGATGCCGGTTAGCTCAGTGGATTTATACTGCGGCGCCCTCTCAGACTGCTTGAGTGAAGGACCTCGGTTGGCTGTGAGCCCTGCTTGTAGAAGTCCACGCTGATGTAGATATCGCGAAGCCAGCACCTGGAACATGGCAGGGCATTTCGTAGCGTGCTGCGTGCTGCGATAATTTCCGGCCTTGGCAGTGCTTCCACAGAACTGGCATGGGCTCCTGAAAATGGTTTGCAGGCTGCCTGACGCAGAAGTGGCGTCCTGATGTGCCTTCTCCCACTCCTTGGGGTGAATCTGCTGCCAGTGTGGCTTGATGCGCAGTCCCGATGTGAACCTCTGATTACAGAGAGCACATCGATCTCGGAGAGTATGAATGGCTTCAGCATGTTCTGGTAGCGAGTGAAGCGGTACATGCAGTAGATGTGGATGCTGCTCAAATGCAGGTTGCATAATCTTCAGGGCCTCCGGAGGAACGGGAGGATCCGCAGCTTCTTCAGCAACGACCTCGGCGAGAATTTGTTCCGGGGTCAAGGGTGCAGCGACCGCGCGCTTGAGACGAGGACACCGGCCTTCTGTGATGTGGCGCTCCAGGCTGATCCAATCATACTGTCTCTGGCGGCATAACCTGCAAATCGGAACCCCAAACAGAGTATGCTGTAGACGATCGAAGGTGGTCCTAGCCTGTTTGTGCACCTGGGGATGCTTTGCCGTAATGTGCGCATTCAGGGCCTCCTGATTGACAAAGGAAATCCCACAGGTAGGACATGAGACACAATCCGCAGCCGAGTCAACCGCAATCAGTGCACTGTCACAGATTACAAAGGCCTGCTGAGCTGACGTCTGATGTCGTGAGATCTGGAGCAAAGCCTCATTCCGCAGGGCATCGCATCGAAGAGGATCATCGGCAATAGAATGCCACTTCTGGTTTAGCTCGTCATGAACAATCGTTTCGGGGTGGATCTGAGCACGCTGCAAGACGGCGGCATTGGAGATTCCATGTTCATGTATTCGAAGAGCTTTTCGCAGCATCTGGGCGAGAGTACTCACGATGCTGCGAGCTACCTGTTGAGGAATCCCAGTGAAAGAGACACCATACAAGAGGGTGGGCAGGACAAAGACCTTGAAAATACGAAGCCGCTGTCTCTGACTCAAGGGGCCCTGCGTTCGCAGAGCTGGCCGGAGTCGATGAAATGTGATCCACGCCTGCGCTGAGCGCGTGGTCAGGGTCTGTTGCTCAAAAGCTGCATAGGATAGCGTCGCACCCAAGTACTCGAGCTTGCCTTGTAGTGGTAAAAACATGTCCCGGTAGTCCCGCTCGACACCACCTATTATGCGAAGCCAATACGTCCCTGCCGACCACTTCTGGAATTTACGCTTTAAGTTCCCAGCCTCAGTGCCGCGCAGGAGCATGACCGCACTGGACTTCTCCAGGTTTACCTGCATGCAGCTCTTGTGCAGCGTTGCAATGATGCGCGCCACATCCGCGCGAGCACTATGGAAGGATGCCACGCTGAAGATTCTCCAAAAGGCATGAATGTCATCTGCAAAGAAGCTCAGATGTTCTTGACACCATCTCACGTCCAGAAGCCTGCTTATCCTAAAGGTCCAGGCCGCATAGATGAAAGGAGCCGCCGGGCACCCTTGTCTCAGACCTCGAAACATGCTCGCACTCCCAGAGCAGCCACCATGCTTGACGTCACACTGCGTTTGTCTGTGAACTTCAACCACCAGCCAGGCGATCGAGTCCGGAATGTTGCATTCACGGAGACTGTGATATATTTCAGAAAAAGTCAACGAATCAAAGGCTTTCGCGAGATCCAGGCTTATCATTATGCCCCCCCTTAGCGGTGTGTCTGACATGCCAAGGAGCTTTGAAGGTGTGTCTGTGCGAACTTGTGCAGACGATTCTCGAACTTCTTGGCAGTGCTGGCTTCCTCGCAGCAGTGCGTCTTGAGTCCCAGCGTTCTTGCGATAGGCAAACTGAGGAATCTCGAAGAAACCAGAGTTCACGAATGGAAGGATGAGATTCTTGATGACGATCATGAAGGCTTTCGTGTCCGATGCCATAAGCCCGATGCTACGAAGATTCTTTGACACACTTGGGGTTTTGTGTGGCTTGGGGAGCCACGCCAATTGAACTCTAGCCCAGTCTTCAGGAATGCAAGGGGTATCACTGCACAGATGCCTACGAGCAATAGCACCCAGCAAAGGAGCTGCCTCAACTGTCTTCCACGTAGCAATGGATGCCTCTCCGTGGGGAACAGCTTTACCTGACTTAAGTTCAAGCAGAGCGTCGGACCACTGTTCATCCTTGAGCATGTCGGGAGAGATGGGCAGCAGGCGCGCGCCCGGGAAGCCAGGCCCCGCGAAGAGCTCGCCAACGTAGTCAACTAGCATGGTACATTCTTCGCTTGCACTAAGCAACCTTCCATCTGGAGCCCTGAGCTTGATCTTGGGATTAGACCGACTAGGACAAAGCAGTTTCAGGGTACCATAAAGCTCCTTGGAGTTTCCAGACTGTGCCGCTTGCTCAGCACGATCAAGGAGCTGTAGAGCTCGTTCACGTTTGGCTTTACGTAGCTCCTTCTGCAATTCTCGATGTGCCTTGTTGTATGCACTCTGGAGCCGCAGCATGCTAAAGATACAGCGCAGATTCGGAAAAGCAGGTCTGTGAGCCCCCATGTCCAAGAGTTGCTTTTTGATCTTCCAGCATGACGCAATGGTGTGGTCAATCGACCTAAGCGCCACGAGCGGCCCAAGCTTCGAGGGGTCATGGCACTACCGGTGCTCTCTGTCCGAACTCTGGTGCGAGCACGTGTGATCGACATACTGCTGGAGGATCTCACCCTGGAAGGTGCATCCTCCAACCAATTGCAGTTCTTTCATCAGCTTTGCGCCGCTTACTGGTCAAAGTGTACTCTTGCTGAACTACTCGAAGACGCGAGCTCTGTTCTGGCGGCAAGGGACTACCTTTTGATCAGGTATTCTGCAGAACGTGACAACGTGGCCATTGGGACTGAGAGTCTGGATCCATAGTGCTTACTGTACTTCGAGAAATGCAGATCTTTCAAGTTTTCAGTACAACCCCTGCAACAAATCAGCCTCCATCTGACCAGATCATTCAAGACTTACAAGATTCGAGCCGAAGACGACATAATTTGACAGGAGGCTTCCACTCGTCCCGGTCCCAATTCCGGGCGTCGGGAGACGGACGACACATTTCTGAATACAATATCCCGGCGGGCGTGAGGGTTGATCTTGGGCCCCTCCCCAGATCTGAACCCACCTCGGTGGGGAAGCAAGAGGGGAATTCTCAGGCCGTGTTGAATAGTTTTACCAAGATTCAGAAGAGATCCTACAAACGAGCTCTACGGCGCGCCAACGCTATGGGCTCGACCATGTACAGAGGACGACTTTTGCATCGCGCGATTCATTTTCCATGTGAGCCTCAGGCCAGCAAGACTCATACATCGAGAATGGAAGTGACAACCTGGAACGTAGACGGACTCTCAGATCTTCTGTATGCAGAGATCAAGACTTGGCTCAGACAGAATCATACAACCAACATCTTGTTCCTACAAGAAACACATTGGTCCTTCACTGGCGAGTGGACGGAGAGCGGATGGCATTTTTGCCATTCCACTTCTGGGCGAAAGGGCTCCGGAGGAGTTCTCATTGCTGTGAGGAGCAGCGCTTTTCCGGCATCGCAGCTAAGGTGGCAGGAAGTGGTGCCAGGGCACATGTTACACCTTCGCGGTACCAGCGACAAGCAACAATTCGATGTACTGTGTCTGTACCAACACGCGCTGGTGCTCAAGGGTGGCAACGATGAGACAGTTGCCAAGAAACGCTCGACGATATGGGGGCATCTGGAAAAGTGGCTCGCCTCAATGCCGGTACGCACGGAACTGGTTGTAGCAGGTGACTTCAACTTGACGCTCCGGCCTCTGTCACACGTCAGTGGTTATGGCATCCCCGACCGTAAGTACCCGGACTCCATTTCGAGAGAGCAAGAGAGGGTATTGGAGTGTTTTCGCAAGCACAAACTGTGTGTCACCAACAGCTGGAGCAGAAAACGGGAAGCATGTACTTACAGACATCCCACTGGAAACACGCAGATTGACTACGTAGTTACACGCCAAGCGCTGGCTGATGCGACTGCGAAGCGAAGCACTCCATTCAGGACTGTGATGGCTGGCTGGCGAAAGGCTGGCCACATACCTGTACGATGCTCGCTGCCCACTCGATGGACGCCGTGGCGGCAAATCAAATCCAAGGCGCGCTTCGGGCAGCTGTCAAGAAGGAATCTCTGCCAACCCCTACGCGACCCCAAAAACCACTACTACCACTACTACTACTACTACTACTACTACTACTACTACTACTACTACTACTACTACTACTACTACTACTACTACTACTACTACTACTACTACTACTACTGTTGCTACGGGAACCAAACCCCCCCTCCCCAATACAGAGAATGGTTCGCAGGGTATTGTTCAGTTTCGGGTCCTGTGAGGGAATGTAGAAGTAAAAGAAGACACGCAGGGGACGGCCAGGACTATATTAATGACTGAACTAGGACCAAACCTATCTCGACATCTCGTTTGGGGATTTGCGCGGCATCGCAAACTTTAGATTTCAAGTGCCAGTGTGTGCTGGAGACTGTGAGTTGAGCTCCTTTCCCAAACGTTCACCTTGCCGAATCTTTGTCCAGACTCAGTAACTGCAGGCGGCAAAGGCAACGGGAATGCGGGATTGCGAGTGCTGCAGGGGAACTGGCAGTGCAGGGGACCACGGCCGCAAGAAAGCACAGGAACACGAAGGAAGGTAGAAGTGCAGGGTCTGCAGACTGCAGAAAGCCCATCCCATCGAACCTGCAAACCTCCTAGCACAACAAACACAGGTCCAGTCCAGTTTTAATAGTGAGACGAGACGCGGGGCGTATTTGATAACATCAGTTAGGGGCAAGTTACTAGCACTGCGACTGCTATCATTAATGTTCTCTTGTTCTGTCATTGCTCAGGGTTGGTCGTGGTCGTGGTCAGACTGGTCGTCAGCCGAGACCGGTCCGCGAAGCCGCGAAGCAAAGGGAAGGCGGCGCGGAGCCTCACAGGTTTCACGCTTGTGTACGCACAGAGTTCTATAGTTTTTTTTAAAACTGTTGCTGTTAGAAGCCCTAAACCCAATTTTTCCGCCCTGGTCCAGCTACTACAACCTCGCACTCAAGACCCACATGCCTTCAGGGTACAGCATCGCCTTGAGCCTTAAACCCTACCGCGCGAAATGCAACATAATAGAGAAGCCTTTGGCCTTCGTAATTAGAATCCGGCTGTGGGGGGGGGGGGGGGGGGCATATTACACTACAGTTAGAAGGGGGCATATTACACTACAGTTAGAAGAAGGAACCCCAAGCAGTAGTGATCATGAGTCAGGCTCCGAAAGTACCAGCACCCCTCAAGTAGCCTTTTACCACAGCCCTGTGGTCCTTCATGGTGGGTATTTAGAGTCGGATGGAGGGTAGCTGGGGGCTGGGGGGTGCTGGTACTGTTGATGATATAAAAGTCTGCATTACCTTCAGGACCCTAAACTATGGGAATTATGGTATATTCCTTATTATGGGTAATGCAGGATTTCTATCATCAACCGTATGTCGACGTCTCCAAGGCCTCCTGCCCATCCACCAGGGGACCCTTCTCGAAGCCTGAATAATTACATGGGTGGTTGTCAAAGTTATGGTCCCTTTTTGGGTCCCTATTTTAATACGGCACCTAATCTTGAGGGTACCCAAAAAGGGACCCTAATTTTGACAACTACCCATATAGTAGTATTACTATCGCTTGGGCCATAGGAGTTCAGAGCTCGGGAGGCTTTCACTACGATCTCGGACTGTTTAGGGTCTAAGGTTCAAAGCAGGTGCTGGGTTCTACCGCGGCACAGTACCTGATTTGATTTCTTAGGCATGCCTAAAAACTCAAATCAGGTGCTTTTGTAGCTTGGCGATCCATGTCAGAGTTCCTGTTGTCATCATCATGTATTCTGTGACTTTCGACTTGCTTTTGTTGCTGAGGTTGTCGGTCCCGTATTGATTGAGCTCGGGAAGGAGTCCTCAAACGAAACACAAAGTGGTTTGGAACATCCGACGGTATTGCACTCGTGTTGTGCAGATGCGACCCATTTGGCTTGCCTTGTAAGGCTTGTTCTGGCAGGATCCTGAGAAAACCATGCAATGCCCAAGAAGCCTATATCCCCGAACCTCAAACTTATGTTATCCCGCATGGTTCCATATGTGCGTTGCCAGCCCGATGTCAAAGACCTGAACATATGGGTTTGGGTATATAGCCCTAAGCTTCCAGGAGCCTTATTATTGGGTCCTGAAGGGGTCTAGGGCCCTAACTAGGTCACGCGCCCACCAGGACCCTGGTAGCGATGTGAGGTACGAATTTAAATATTTCCCCGGGAAAAAGCTAATTTGTTAGCAAAAATTGTCTTTTGAAAAAGCCCTAAAAACTATTAACGACCTGAACCGACAAGTGAAGTTGAAGCGTTGTAAGTTCTAAAACTTGCGGCCAAGGCAGGGAGCTCTGGGGCTTAAGGTTCTGGGCATCGTACACACATATGTAAGGGTCGCAGATATATGTTCATGCGTATGTAACTTCCTATGTGGTATACATGACATATAAAGCATAGAAGGCACATACAACATGAAATTACATCAGAGACTCAAAAGGCATTTTAGGCACATACTACATATAAGATACAACACATGCACCAGGCGGAGACTACATGGAACACTTGCACAGTGCCTAAAATGCCTCATGGGTCTCTGATGAAAAGCATGTTGTATGTGCATCTAGGTCTTATATGTCATGAACACCACATAGATCTCAGACGTTACATACACATGAACATTTGTCGACGACCCTTGCATATGTGTGCGACCCTTACATTTGTGTGCGGTCGTAGAACGTCGTCACTGCCCACCCCCCCCCCCCCCACCCACCCCGCCCCACCCCACCCCTAAAGCATGGCTATCCCCGAAACCCCCAAAACAGCAGGTTAACACCAGGGACCGGCGCGCGTGCCACCAACTATAAGGTCACTGGAAGCATTGGGTAAGATGGAAAACAAGCTGTCCCAAGGCTCCCGAAACATTTCTAGCATAAAGCCTCGCAAAATTGCAGGGTCGACTCTATCCCCTAGGCTCTGCGAAACCCTCACAAAACCCTAGCGCCTGGAGTGGAGCCTAAGCCCTAAACCCCGAAACCCCTAACACCTAATCCCTAACCCCTAAACCCTAAACTGTTGGGTCTTGGTGTTGTTTTCTTGTTGTGTCGCGTGGTGTGCAAGTAGCAAGCTCAGTGGACCCAGTGCCTGAAGCCATGCCTGCCTTGTGCGAGTGTGTGAGTCGAAACCCTAAGCTCGAAACCCCTAAACCCTAAACCCATAAACCTACCTGTAGCCGAAAATACTCACATTGTTTAGGGTTCCTTATTATCGCTTCTATATATAGTCCTTAAAAACGGTAGGTCTTAAGGTATAAACATGTATAAACCCTACCCTATAAGCCTTCACTTGGAAGGCCAAGGAGTCGACTTCCCAGTGTTGCCGTGTACTTCGGCACCTTTGACCCGATCCATGCGACTCGACGCCGTTTTGGGGTTTAGGGATCCAGGGTTTAGTGTTTATAAAGGTTCCTTTTTGGAGGGGATTTTAAGGGATCTTTTAAGGGATCCTTTAAGGAATCTATGGGGTTGAGGGTTTAGCGGTTCCTGAAAAGGTTATCTATAAGGGTTTAGGGGTTTTGGGTATAGTGTTTTGCGGTTTAGGGTTTTAGGGCTTTGGGTTTAGCGTTTTTTGTTTATGGGTTGGAGTTGAGGGTTTATGTTGGGGTTGAGAGGTTTTGGGGTTTAGGGTTTAAAGGTTTTGGGCCAGATTTAAGACCTTCGAAGGTTTGAGGTTTAGGAGCTTTGTGGGGGGCGACAATTTTACGAGTTCCACTGGGTTACTCACGTGGTTCTTATACAAGGGTTTATGGAATCATCTCAAACCCCTTCAAACCACGAAATCCAGCCCTTAAATTTTCGATTTTGTGCAGGGTGTGGATTCTGATGACTTCAGCAGGGCGCTGAAAGGCTTCGAGGCCCTTGATGTCTTGGCATCAGGGAGGCCCCGTGAAGGGGACCCTTCTGAGCTCTGAACCCTATTTCTGGCTCTCTCAAAACGCCAGCTTATTCAGATGGTCTACATCCCCAAGGGTCCCTGTAATCCTAACTCCTATCCTCTTTTCGCGCCCACCCACCCTCGGAGAACAGATGTTCAGCATTTCAATGTAATGCTTGGTGTGGGCTTGGTGCAATGCCTTGCCTCCCGAAAACGCAGCTGTGCGCGAGTGAGTGGGCCCGAAACCTTGAACCTTAAGCCCTAAAGCAAGGACAGCAAGCTTTGCCTTGAGTTGTCTGGAAACCCCGAAGTGCCCCAACAACCACAGGAAGATCGCCGCTTTCAGGAACTCTGCAAGATTACGTTCGTACCGTAAGTAATGGTAATATCTCTTGGTTATATCGTGGTTGTTCAGGTCCGTGTGTAAAACCCTGAACCCTAGTAAAGCCCTAGAACAACTGCTTGAGATGCCAGCCTAAGCTCGCGGGGTAAGGCGACCTTCGCCTTCTAAACAGAGCACCCTCGCCGGATAAGCCTGAGTTGCGAGAGCCAAAGCCTATTGGCGAAGGCCCCAGATTCGCATCATTCCTTTATCGGACTTGATCGTCCTGATTTTGGAGATCATAGTATATCCCAAAACCTTAGTCTAAGTACTAAGGCCCCCAAAAGAGGATGTTGACGTGATCCCTGAACCCTAGACCCCCAATCCTAAACACTGGCCCAGGAGAATCATATCGGCCTTGCCAAGTTTGCGCATGGGGACTCGGCTTTCGGCTTTGCTCAAATGTCGGCTTAAGGAGGAAGCCTGCGGCTCGGGGTTTAGTGTGTGTGTGTGTGTGGGGTTTAGGGCTTTTATATGGGGTTTAGGGTTTAGGTGACATAGCGAATGCCTGGGAGAGAGAGTGTGTGTGTTCAGGTTCTTGACTTATGCGTAGCCCAGGTGTAAAAAGGGTTTAGGGTTTAAAGGGTTTAGGCTTTAGTGTTTCGGGTGTTAAGGTTCACGGGTTCAGGGCTACTACCGAGAAGCTAAGCGAAACCTCGGGTGTAGAGAAAATCGGACCCAACGGTCTGTGGTTTTCTGGGCGTTGGGGCTTTTGGACGGTTTCTGGGAAAGTACTAACCTAGGTGAGGCCCCCGCCCAGAAATACTGACATGAAGAAGTGCTGGTCTGGTATTTCTGGTAACTATATCAAGATCCGTGCATACTCCTTTTTGTTACTGCTGCTGTTGCTGTGCGGGGGCCTGACTGCTTAGTCCCATTCCAACCCTGTTCTACGTAGGGCAGGGGAAGACACTTACAGCCCTGAAGCGGCTAATCCTTGAAGACTTACATCCCTGATGCCGAAAGCCCCGTACCGTGAACTCTAATGGTTAAGGCCCGTGTAGCCCCATTCTCAACACCCTCATGAAACCTTTCGCACAGACCATGCACAAGAATCCAATTCAGGAAGCTTTGCTACCAGAAATCCTTGCTTCCATGTTGCCAAACCAGGACTGGACTCAGCTAAGATTTAGAGCTTGAAGTTAAAAGGATTGTAAAGCTATTGTATAAGTTTTAAGAGTTTCATATGAGTTTGCTGCTAAGACCGCAGATGTTACAAGTGCTCTTGTATGGGCTTTGTACAAGGGCGTCTGAACACCGAAAGCACAGGTCCCGCATCTGGAAGTCCTGGTAGGAAGTCGCCTGATGTTTGAGGTCTGCAGACGGGTCCCTTCATATAATTGTTGCCTGAAGCTCGCATATGCAGTTCGAGAGAGCTAGACGGGCCGGGCTGGTTTGGTAGTTCCCTCGGTTAGTTGTATGTTGACTGGCACAAGTTGTTCGAGTGGTTTAGTATGTGACGGTGTTGAGACTCTCATGCTGTCGTGGTCCACTCAAACCTAAGCCCAAACCCACATTTAGAGAGGTTGGAAAGAGAGCTTGCGCGGCTGGTCTACTTCGTGGTGAATGGTGGCAGGCTTAGAGCCACGACGTGATTCGGGTGTGAAGAGTTCAGGGGGCTAGTTCGGGGTAGTTGATAAGCGCTGCAACCAGCGCTAGCGTGTAATTTGTGTTCAGGGGGGTAGGGCTGCTAGTTATATGTACAGTTACCCTACTTATAACCCCACTTATAACTACCCATGAACCTCCAAGTAGACCCTAATACAGCTAGGTGTAGAATTATGGCGAGGTGTAGAAGCAAGGAAGCTAGGATCCCATGGTCGCTTGCCTGTATGAGGCGGCTTCCAAGAGACTTCAATATCCCTTAATTATACAAAAATGATTCTTTAAGATCAGATTCGGGATCCTACTGTAATTTAAGATGTATTCCTCAATCACCAGGGGATATTGGAGTCTCTGGGTTATTGCTTGCTCCGAGCTTTCACTCCTGTTAGATGGTGAAAGAATTGGTTTGGAAGTCCACGACAAGGCAGTTGCGAATGCTTTGAAAGTATCGGGACCCCTTGAAACCTCAAGCGCAGCCTGTAGCCCCAAACCCTACAAAATGAGTGGCCTGAAACCCCCCGAAGGCCGTCTTAGCACTTCTAGCCTTGAAGCCCTTGCTCTCGGACTCGCTGCTTTCCTTGTGGAGCGAGCCGGTTTCTGGGGTTTAGGGTTTAGGGGTTAGGTTTAGAGTTCCTGGCATATGCATAGCCCAGGTGAATAATTGGGGTTTGGGATCAGGGTTCCTCCTGGGATCCGAAGTTTTACTCTTATTAGGTAATCACGGGATCAAAACCTACCAGTTGTAGCTTTGGCAATTTGGTGCTACAGGTAACCCCAAGGTACGAGACCCTCCTGCCCAAAGCCCGGACCCTCGTGATGGCACATCGCCAGGGAGAGAGAGAGAGAGAGAGAGAGAGAGAGAGAGAGAGAGAGAGAGAGAGAGAGAGAGAGAGAGAGAGAGAGAGAGAGAGAGAGAGAGAGAGAGAGAGAGAGAGAGAGAGAGAGAGAGAGAGAGAGAAAAGAGAGAGAGAGAGAGAGAGAGAGAGAGAGAGAGAGAGAGAGAGAGAGGGGGAGAGAGAGAGAGAGAGAGAGAGAGAGAGAGAAGAGAGAGAAGAGAGAAGAGAGAAGAGAAGAGAGCGAGAAGAGAGCGAGAGGGAGAGGGGAGAGGGAGAGGGAGCCCAAACTCTAGCCCACGTTACCGAGGCGACAACCCGCTGAAGCCACTGGCCAGCTGCCCAGCACGGTTTGGCTTCAGGGGAGGTGGGGATGTGGGTTGCGAGGCTTGTGGTCCCTGGCGAGGCAAGGCCGAAATATGCCGCACCCCTCACTACCCACAGAGACAGACAGACAAACACAATGGCCTTGTGGCCGAGAGCTTCTCGGAGCTTTTCGGAATCATGCGGACTATCGTGTTTGGGCGTGGGCTTACGCCTGGGAGTTACGGTTCCCCTTGACCCTTGACATCCAGTCCTCCCCTCCCCACACCCCAAACTTCCAGGCCCTAGATCTCGAGGCGTCTCCAAAACGCTTATTATAGGGCCTTTAATAGTTACCTCTACTAAACCCTATTCCAAACATTAAGGTCCCTAAATTATTCTGATACTTCAGACCGGTTCAAGCTGAGCAGATGTTGTTTAAGTGCAAACACCTGATTAATCAACCTCCCGTGCGTCGATTGAGACCAAGTAACAGCGATCTGAAGATTATGGCCCCTAAAGCGTGCATGCTAAAGCGGTCTGAATTGTTGAGTGATCGTTTCTACAGAAATGCTTTCATAGTCGTTCTTCGAAACACCCCAAACCCCTATTCTATTTCAGGGCCCATTATATAGATGGTTCTTGAAGTTAAGGTCCTATTTAGGCTCCTTTTAGCAGCGGTGCCACTTTCTCTTGGGTCTTCAAAACGGACCCTAATTTAGAGACCTACCTATAGCATACATATATATATATATATATATGCATTTGTATATATATATATATATATATACACATTTGTATATATATATATATATATGCATGCATATGTATCCCAAGCACTTAGACCCTTGAGGCACTGGGACTGTTGACACGCCCCCATGTTGGGATGCCGTAAGAATGGCTACTCATGGAGAGACGTCTGAAGTCTAAAAAATTGGGGGCTTAGTCGGGTTGAACAGTCTATAGATACTTGCAGTACCTGCCTCGGGCTACTAGAAGAGTTGTAAGGATCATGCAGTATCAACGAGGCAGCATCCTACGAAGAACGCCTGGGAGCCCAGAAAGCTGTGGAAGTGAACCCTGCAAGGGTTTCTATAAGGGATCTAACAGGGTTTTATGAGGGTTCTATAACGTTCTATACGGGGCATTTTGCGAGGCGACAGAAAGGACCTCGGTGCCAAGGAAAGCTAGGAGTTTCAGCAACTGGATCCGGACCATTCCTTCGAAAAAAACACAAAGAAGGGACCCGCCACTTGAGAAACCCCAATGATAAAAAAATGCTTTATCCACTTCTTCTCTCGATGCCTTTGGGCTGGGCTGGCAGTCCCCACTAGAGCCCGAAACTCTCCCGTGCCCCCCCGCACCCGCCCGCCGCACCCCGCTCGCACCCGCCTGCGCCGCCCACCAGGATTTCGAGCTTTCTGCTTCCATTCTACTGTCAAACCACAACCTACGCTGTCGCATCTTGGCGCTTGCGCCTTCTAAAATTTAGGGTTTAGGGTTTGGGTTTTGGGTTTAGGGTTCGACAGCGTAGCAGTCGCCCTAGTCAACTTGCGGGTGCACTTTCTTTCATAGGGAGGTGTTCCTCAAGCCCAAAAACGATTTCTGAGAGGCTAGCCCTAACCATCGCGATGGGTGGTGGGTGGTGGGTGGTTGGTGGCGGGTGGTGGGTGGTGGGTAGTGGGTGGTGGGTGGTGGGTGGTGGGTGGTGGGTGATGGGTGGTGGGTGGTGGGTGGTGGGTGGTGGGTGGTGGGTGGTGGGTCGGGTTTAACCCTAAACCCTGAAACCCTAAAGCCTTGCCTGCCTTGTGCGAGTGTCTGAGTCGAAACCCTAAACCGTTTAGACTTGTAAGCCGCTGGTTAGCGTGAGGTCTCAAGCATTTCCACGCGCGCAGCTCTCCCAGTCATACGTAACTCCCTAAACCCTACTTGGACCCTAAAGAACCTAACTTTTTTGGGGCTTCTCAATATGATTTCTTTAAACAAATCGTTAAAACGACAGATTATTCGGGATTAAGTAACACCCTAAACAGTAGACAGCACGACGGAAGCTTCACTTCAACGTGTAGCTCACACTCCACCAGCTATCTTGACCACCTACCTGCTTTCAAGCTGTCGGCTCAGAGGTAGTTCTTCACATACTAGCTTATGACTTTTCATAAAGTCTAAATGCCTGAGCTGCTTGAATACATAATATACCAAGACACTGCCAAAACACTGTCCCGAAGAGCACGGGTCAACTACTTAGCAGCACTTGGGGTACTTGTCCCAACTACGATCTTTGTCGCCACGCCTGCACATGACAATCCGGCCACGATTAGACCAGAGATGCCCCTGACTCACAGGACTTAATTCTTGATGATTCAGATGCTGACATAGCTCCGACTTGCGACATGTCGATCTCAGTAACAGTTGGGCTGCTCAGTGGCAGGACAGTCACTGTGACAGCAGGCGTGGAAGACGACGTCAGATCGTTGATCCTGCAAGCACAGACTGCACTTGGAGTTGACACTGTTAGGAAAGGACGACTGGTGCACTCGTCGGGGGGCATTCTGGATGCATCCTCCACGATCAAGGATACGGAGCTTCAAGATGGGGACACTTTGACCTTTCAAATTATGCGCGAAATCCAAATCCAGCGCTGTGGCGGCGCTTTTGCTGCCATTCTTCGTGATGGATCCGTCAAGACCTGGGGCTTTGAGGAAACTGGTGGCGACAGTAGTGCTGTGCAGGATCAGCTGAAGGACGTGCTAGAGATCCAGGCCTCTGGCGCAGCTTTCGGGTCTCGTCTTCTCGACGATGGATCTTACGCGGGCGCTTTTGCTGCCATTTCGGGCGATCGATCCGTGGTGACTTGGGGTATTGCTGAGGACGGTGGTGACAGTAGTGCAGTGCAGCATCAGCTGAAAGATGTGCAGCACATCCAAGCCTCTCAGTCTGCCTTTGCTGCCGTTCTCGGAGACGGATCTGTCGTGACCTGGGGCGATGCGAACCTCGGTGGTGACAGCAGTGCTGTGCAGCTCCAGTTATCAAACGTTCAGCAGATCCAAGCCTCTCCGCGAGCCTTTGCTGCAATTCTTGGCGACGGATCCGTCGTTACCTGGGGTGATGCCCACGGTGGTGGCGACAGCAGCGCTGTGCAGGATCAGCTGAAGAACGTGCTCGGGATCCAAGCCTCCAAGTCTGCTTTTGCTGCCATTCTTGGTGATGGCTCGGTCGTGACCTGGGGTGATGTAGACTTTGGTGGCGACAGTAGCGCTGTGCAGCATCAGCTGAAAAATGTGCAGCAGATCCAAGCCTGTGAGGCTGCTTTTGCTGCCATTCTAGGTGATGGATCCGTGGTGACTTGGGGTAGTGCTGGTGCTGGCGGTGACAGTAGTGCTGTACAGGACAAGCTGAACCTGGTGCAGCACATCCAAGCCACTTTACTCGCTTTTGCTGCCATCCTTCATGATGGATCTGTCGTGACTTGGGGTGATGCTGGCTCTGGTGGTGACAGTAGTGCTGTGCAGGATGAGCTGCAGAATGTGCAGCAGATCCAAGCCTCTCAACACGCTTTTGCTGCCATTCTTGGCGACGGCTCTGTCGTGACATGGGGCGAGTTCCAATGGGGTGGTGAAAGTGGAGCTGTTCAGGACCAACTGGAGGATGTGACAGAGATCCAGGCCTCTGACCGGGCTTTTGCCGCCATTCGTTGTGATGGATCTGTCGTCACCTGGGGTGACGCTGACTATGACTATGATGGTGACAGTAATGCTGTGCAGGATCAGCTAAGGATGGTTCAGCAGATCCAGGCTTCTGGTGATGATTTTGGTGCCATTATTCCTGAGTTCGGTATCGTGACCTGGGACGCCCTGGGCCTTCATAATGTAGCACTCGTAACCCGGGACGTCCTGAGCGGTGACAGTAGCAGCATGGAGTAGGAGCTGGTCGCAGCAACTCCGTAATGGAGAGGGGCCAAAATGACTACCAATATTATTGCGGGTGTTCACTCATATGGTTATAGTAAAATATACCCCAAAACCCTATAGTAATTTATAAAGCCCCTATATTATTATAGTTAGCCGTTGAGACGAGTGTTCTGGCAGCCACAGAGCATATTGCTCACAAACCTAGATCACTAAGGCTCAACTAAAATAACCCCAAAACCACATAATCCATGGTCTTTGGGCCCAAAAGCCCTATAATATGAGTCCTTAGAGCCTTAGGGTTAGGTTTGGATACTGATACCACACAAGCCCCAGGGTTCAGGCAACAAAGCGTCGTAATGTCCTGCATGGCTGACTTGCGTCTATGGGTTAGAGGTTTTGCGTCCAACCGTTCCTTGGCTTCCTTGGCGTAAGTCGTCCGGATTCTTGGGATCTGCTCCATGTCGCGATACCGGGTGGTACCTCTAGAAACCTGAACAACTACCAAGACTATTCCTTAGGGTTTCTGTTTCGAATTTCATTAGAACAAACCGCCAACCCCTATTCTAGCAATTACGGCCTCTGCACTAGAACCCTTATAATATGCTTTCTCGTAGCCCCGACATATAGAACCCTCAAAGAAACGCTTGACAGGAACCCTATTCTGATTAGGAAGGCCTTTATAATGTCTTTCTCGAGCATAGCATAGAGCATAGCCTAGAAAGCAAACTGCTAGCTTGCTACTGGAAAGTAGGGCTGAGGGTTTACGGTTTAGGGCTTCCCTTTGTGGGTTCGGGTTTTTTTGGTCATGCGGTTTGCATGGTTCAGGTAGTGGTGTCCTTCTAGGAAGAAAGCACGTCAGCGCAACCTGCTACGAAGTTCGACAGCCGGCATCGGGGTTCCTTACAGCAAATGAAGCCATACACACACATTCATAGTTCTTCAAGATTCGGGGCTTGACGAGCGAAATTGCAGACGCCAGAACTCTTCGCACTCTGACAACCCTGGACGGGAGCGATCTTGGAAAAGAGGTTTTCAGATTAAAAGCAAAGTGTAGGTTCAGATCCCAAGGTTGGGTAACAAATGTCCCGTCCTTAGCCCTAATCCATGCTTTTGATTTGTAAATACCTCATATTTAAAGGTTTTATTTCCGGAAATCTTGGTTTTGCACTAAAAAAAGCCCCTGGATTTAAGGGTGTTAATTCTCGTCCCCTGAGCAATCAGAGGGCCAAAAAACTTTAAGGGGTTAAGAATCTCGTCCCTTAAGCAATCAGAGGGTCGAAAAACTTACTACTGAAGCTTTAAGGGGTTAAAAATCTCGCCCCTTAAGCAATCAGAGGGCCAAACAATGAAGTATAGGCTTAAAACTGTCTCTTTTTACTGCAATTAGAGGCTTAGTGGAGGCGCAAAACGTACTGCTTTTTAAATCTTACCACTTTACTGCAATGAGAGGCTTAGTAGAGGCCGGAAAGCTCAGATTGAGGCCTGGCCCCGGAAGCATCCATTCCTTATCAATCTGCTTCATCAAAAAGGCCCAAAATCATTCCACCCTGATCTACCCCTTACGGCTGGTCTCTGGAACAGCTTCCTCTGGATTTATAACTCCCTCCACAACTATAGGAAATTATTTTCGGGGCCCTGACTACGACTATTACTACTACGACTACTACGACTGCTGCTACTACTACTACTGCTACTACTACTACTACTACTACTACTACTACTACTACTGCAACTACTACTATACAAGTACTACTACTACTACTACTACTACTTCTTCTTCTTCTACTACTACTACTACTACTACTACTACTACTACTACTACTACTAGTACCACTACTACTACCACCACCACCACCACCACCACCACCACCACTACTACTACTACTACTACTACTGCAACTACTACTATACAAGTACTACTACTACTACTACTACTACTACTACTACTTCTTCTACTACTACTACTACTACTACCACTACCACTACCACTACTACTACCTACTACTACTACTACTACTACTACTACTGCTACTGCTACTGCTACTGCTACTGCTACTGCTAACTGCTACTGCTACTGCTACTGCTACTGCTACTGCTACTGCTACTGCTACTGCTACTGCTACTGCTACTGCTACTGCTACTGCTACTGCTACTGCTGCTGCTGCTGCTACTACTGCTACTGCTACTGCTACTGCTACTGCTACTTCTACGACAACTACGACTACTCCTGCTCGTCCGCGACTGCGGGGCTGCTGCACGCCGCCTGCGTGGGCTCACCGGCCCGATCCCTCCAGATTTATAGTGCAGGGCTCTTAATAGTAGTAGTAATAGTAATTTTCATAGTCATGTTAATAGCAATAGTAATAGTAATAGTAATTGTAAGAGGAGGGGGGCCTATCAAAAGCACGGGTTAAAGCCTATAAGCCCTAGAAGCCCTGAGCCATAAACTAGGAAAGCCCTAAAGTAAAAGCCAGAAAGTTGGAATATGATTATCCTAAACCCTTTATGGTAAATTATAGGGTATCCTACCCTGAAACCATATTCCAACTTTCTGGAGTTCCCTTTACAAGCCCTGCAATACAAGCACTGTCAGCCTTTAGCACCAAACCCTGAACACTAAACCCTATAAGCGCTAAACCCTAACTCGAAACCCTCAAAATCCGTGCCTGCATCGTCCGAGTGTGCGAATCGAAATCCTGAACCCTAGCTCAAATCCTGAACCCTATAAGTCCTGAACCCTGAGCCCTAAACCCTCTGAGCGGTAGAAATGAGATCTAGAAGCCCTAACTTCGAATCCCCGTGTAGTTGCGGGCCTCGAACCACATGCCAACCGAGTGTGAGCGCCGAAACCGAGGAACCCATCGATAAACCCTTGTGGATCCCTTTACAAGAACCCTAAACCCCTAAACCCTAAACCCTGTACCCTAAACCCCGTTGTAGGATCCCCTAAACCCTAAACATCCCTAAGTTTGTTTTTTGAACCCGAGGCCTAAACCCTTTCTGTTGAACCCGAAACTTTTTCTTTAGAGTCTTACATGAATTAGGGCTTATATTACCATTTTGGTGAGTGTAGATAGGGCTCCTTTTGAATTTTGGTGAGTGTATGTACTGGGTTTTATTATGGGGATACTACTGTTGATGATATAAATCCTGCATGACCTTAAGGACCCCAAACTATGGGAATTATGGTATATTCCTTATTATTGGTAATGCAGGATTTATATCATCAACCGTAGTAATATAAACCATACTCTACATCCCGAACCCTCGGGCCGAAGGTCTTCGAGAGCCCTCCAGGGGACCCTTTTTTTTTGTGGCAGCCTCGGGGCTCGGGTTCAGTCTTTGGGGTGACTGTGTTCTTGCTAAGGAATTCAGTGTAAGCTGTTGAGAAACCCAAACCCTAAACCCTAAGGGTTTAGGGTTTAGGGTTCAATGGAAGCTACCAGAATAAGGAGGCATGTCTTTACCATAAATCCCTACTGCGGTAGCTTGAACTAACTTGATAAACCCTAGACCTTATACTGTAGTAACCATTATGGGACCCTTAAAGGAACCCGACAATTATGGTAGCCTGAATGAGGTTCCTTAACCGGAAACCCTTAGAGCAAAAAAAACAAAAAAAATCGAGCCCGAAACCCTATCCCGAAACCCTAAACCCCCAAACTCTTATAGATCCCTTTAAAGGAACCCTTACAGTAAACCCGAAGAACCTAAATCCCTAAGCCCTAAATCCCTGAACAAAAAGCCCAATACTAGGATGCCCAGTAGTACCCTTATTCCCTTTTTGTAGTCCTAGGTTCCTTATAAAGTTACCCAATACCAAAAAGAGATGCCTTTTTATTCTTAGGTTACTGGGTATCCTAGCCAACAGCCAAGCAGAGGCCTGGCCCTGGTACAGCGGCGGCTGGAGGTGGAAGGTGATGCCAGGATTAGGCCTGGGACAGTTGAAACGTTCAGGGTTTTGAGGGTCTGTAGAAGTTGTATAGGGTTTGGGTCCATGAGTTATGGTCCAGGGTTCAGGGTTTATAGAAGTTGTCTAGGGTTTGGGTCCATGAGTTTTGACCGAAAGTTGTTTGTTTGTGCTCTGGGCTGGGCTGCTTGCCGTTTGGTACGGAAAGACTGCTCGGTAACTGGCGCTGGCCACTTTCGGAAAAAACTGCTGGTATGCCGTAACCCAGACCGAAGCTTGCTGCTGAAAGATGGCTGGGCGTACCATTACTATTTGTTGCCACAAACTGGTTGCTGCCTGCTTTTGAAAGGCTGTTGTTGGCTGCTTTGGAAGGACTGCTGAAGATTTTAAAGTTTCATGCAGCGCCGAAGGAACGCGGAAGAGGGCCATGCACCCTGGGTTCGCCCATAATTGTGGATAACAAAGGAAGGCCATGTACCGTATATCCGCCCTTAATGTTTGAAGGAAAAACAGAAGATAACCACGTACCTTGAATTCGCCCTTAATGGAAGGAGAACACCAGAGCGCCATGCATTTCGTGTTGGCCCTTGTCTTCAGAAGGAAACACAGGAGGGCCGCGGACCACAGATGAAGGCATGTGCCTGATGCTCACCCTCATGATTCAAACAAACGACACAATTTCTGTTTATTGCTGTCTTGAGGGTTTAGGGTTTAAACATAAGGTATTAGGGTTCCTTCAAAAGGCTTTTAGGGTTTACTATAAGAGGTCTGTTGAGTTTTAGGGCTTTTAGGGTTTAGGGACCTTGGAGTGTAGGGTTTAGGGTTTAGTGTAGGTTCAGGGCCAGGCCTTCAATTTAGGGTGCAGAGTTTCGGGTCCCTGGTCCGGGGTTTGTGTGATTTAGGGTTCAGGTTTAGGGTAGGGGGGTTATTTGGGGTGTAGGGTTTAGTGCTTACAGGCTCGAGTTCTTAGGGTTCAGGGTTTGGGGTTCAGGTGTGTTCAAGAGGCCTAGAGCGACACTAAGGTTTGAGGGTTCTGCATTGAAGCTTCTAGACGGGTTTACTAGAATGGTCGACGATGTTCAAGGAGGACTTCTTTCAGGGCTTTGCGGGTTTCTGAGGCTTCGGAATAAGATGTGTATACTTGAAGCCCTCGGGACAGAACTCCCTTATAGAGCCTTGTTGAACCGTTATGGAGAGCCTTCTAGCAAGCCTTAGTGTTTAGGGTTTAGGATTTCGGATATTGGGTTTAGGGTTCAGGGGTTTTGGGTTTTGGGTGTGGGGTTGAGGGAGGGTTTCGGATATTGGGGAGTAAGGGAAACCTTGAGTCTTGAGGTTGGGCATTGTGAGTCCTTAGGTTGGAGGTTCCTGGGACTTGGCACAGTGAATAATAGGGTTTAGGGTTTAGGGGCTAAGCGTACCTTAGTTGGTGCTGTAAGTAATCATAATCCTAAGCTTCCAGGGACTTTGTTAGTGGTCCTTAAGAGGTCTAGGGCCCGAACTGCAAGGTCCTTGGAAGCATTGGGTAGGTATAGTTACCTCATTTTCACCCTATAGTTACTATGCCCGATGAACCTTTAAGTACCTTTGGGCCCCTAATTTGTCGGCGTTCGAGGCTCACTCAAAGCACCTTGGCCTTCATCGCTCATGGTACCACGTTGGATGTCGAAAGGAAGGGTTTAGGGAACAGGTGTTTTGGGGAGGCACTGGTTTTCCGAATGATGTGGCTTCAGGGTTTCAAGCATACAGAGCACCTTCGACACTAGAGTCACGAGAGATCCTTTGAGATGCTTGGGGGTTTCGGGTTCCAGAACTGCCAAGACAGGTGCTTCCATTTAGCCCGTGAAGAGACCCAGCGGATGCGGTGGCACGGGCCTCAGCGCGTGCACGCTCGCACCACTACCAGCTGAGAATTGTGGATATCTGGCAGTACCCGCGTGCTGAGTGACCCAAAAAAGGTGCAATGAGTATTTTGAGCAGTCTTGTGTCATATGTTGCTTCTCGTACACTTTCACTGTATGCAACTCTGCATGTTTCGCATAGCGCAACTGCGCGAAGGGCGGATCCATGCATGCATTCTCTTGTCGTCTGTAACTGTCTTTTCCGGAATAGCTATTCAAATATGCCCTCCCAAACTCTACAAGCCGTAAGGGCTTGGGCAGAGAGAGACTGTGCAAGAGGGCACTGCATGTATCGCATTGCCAGCCTTGTAAAGCGTATCAAAATGTTCTCACTTCTTTTGAATTGCTGGCTGTGTGCGCACACACAGAGGAGGTACATACACTTGCCATGATACTGCATAGCTTCTACGAAAATGTTCATTGTTGTGACGTTGTGGAAGACTTGTTGCCATCTTTCTGGCTCTGTTGCTTGACGAGAGCAGTGACTTGACAGTTCATGCTAGCAGGATATGAAGCTGGTTACTTCTTCCACTATCGTTGCATGCTGCCGTCCTGATGTGCGAGTGGCATTCACATGTAGACAGGTTGGTGCTTGCCAGTGGTATGATATCCACGTTTTGCAACTACTCCATTTTCAAGACGTAACCACACATGCGCATGCATTCAAGAAACGCGTGTTGGCTGTATTGGTGCTAGAATGCTGCATTTCAGGAACTGCATTACGCACAACTTCTTGAGGCACTGTCCTGGCGTTCTACACCTGGTGGTACCCCTATGAAGAAGCAGCAGGAAGTATTACTAACGATATGGTCCACACTAGACCCTTGAAGGCCTACGAGTGTAGCCAACCAAGGTCAGACCGCGACAACATCTGCAACAAGATCAGGCGAGCCCCACACTTTGAGTTAGGTTGAGGGTATGGAGGAGTTCCAGAGTGTAGATGCTTAGCCCCAGGAAAGATTTAGATCTTCGGGCTTAGCGGAGTTATGCGTTTAGTACGGTATTCTTGGCCCTGGGAAGAAGACATGTCAAATCCCAAAAGGAGCTGCATTGCATAGTGAGACCCTAAACCCCTAAACCCTGAACCCCTAAACCCTAAACCCCTATAAACCCCTAAACCCTAAACCCCTGAACCCTAAACCCCAAACCCCTAAACCCTAAACCCCCAAACCCCTAAACCTCTAAACCCCTAAACCCTAAACCCTTAAACCCCTAAACCCTAAACCCAAAACCCCCTAAACCCTCTCCTTCAAATGTATATTTAAACCCTGACCCGTATTTTCGAATGGCGGGCACCGTTCTCAAGCCGATTTTCGAATGACCGAACCAATGCTATGGCCGGTTTTCGTGCAGACCGACCGTTCTCAAGCCGATTTTAGGTTTTCGAATGGCCGGGAATGGCCGGACCAACGCCATGGCCGGTTTTCGAACAGCAGTTTCCTAGGGTTTGTGTCAGGGTTTACGGATCTGGTTTAAGGCCTAGGGTTTGGGCTTTAGGGTTTAGGGCCTAGGGTTTTGGGCTTTGGGGTTTAGGGCCTCGGGCTTGGGCTTTAGGGTTTAGGGCCTCGGGCTTGGGCTTTTCGAACAAGGGGACCAATGAAGGCAAATGCAATGACTAAGATAAAGTTGCGACAAACACAAACAGTTGTCTCAGGAAGCGGTTTTGATTCTAGGGTTCTTACGGTTTGAGCCATAGGGTTTGGGCTTTAAGGTTTAAGGCCTAGGGTTTGGGTGTTGAACTGAGCTGAGGGTAATGATAAAGCTTTGTATTTCTTAATGTTTTGGGAGTCTCTGGGTGGGTGGGTTTTTATTCCATGTTCTAAATAGCGAACTTGACTAGATACTGCTCGACCAGAGCTGCTGAACCCTGAACCCTAAACCCAGTCACGGAGTTTAAGATTCGGGCTTGACTTGCTTTGGACTTGTGCTCCACGAAAGGGGTTCTCCTTGCAAGCAGTGCGCAATTTATACATGTATAAATGCAGGCGTATACAATTATTAGCTGACTGCATAGGCAATAAGCTGTCGAAAACAAATATAAGTACAGTGATTATAAGTACAGTATACTGGGCCCCCAAACCCTGTTCCAATTGTTACGGCCCCTATATGAAGGAGTTTCAGTTGACGCACGTTTCATGATTTTTAGGACTTTTGCCAGGATCCTCATTGCAAGATTGCAAGGAGCCCAACATAGGCGCCCGAAGCCCTAAACCCTCAGCCCGCAGTTCAGAGTTGGGGTCAAGAGCTTGACTTCGCAGGTTGCGCACCATTGCTGCCGTACGACCAAATGACCCTTAAAAGTAGGCCCGGCCCTACACCATTATACTTTGAACCTCTGTATGGTATATGTACCTTATTAGATCTTTTGGGTGTGTATTTCGCCTTTACGGGTCGCACGTGACCACAAGCGTCGAACATCACCACGATCTTCGCAGCTGTAGCCAACATACGGAAGCCCAGCGTATGTAACCAGAATGTCGAGAGCAAGAGGTAAGCCTCACTCCAACGTGTAGCTCGAACCTGCCGACACCGCAACCTAAACCAGAGATGCTTCCCACCCCCTGCAAGACTCCACTCGTGATTCAGATGCTGGGATAGTTCCGACCTGCAACATGTCGATCACAGTCATAGTAGGGCTGCTCAGTGGCAGGACAGTCACTGTGACAGCAGACGTGAAAGACGACGTCAGATCGCTGAGCCTGCAAGCGCAGACTGCACTAGGTGTTGGCAGAGGACGACTGGTGCACTCGTCTGGAAGCATTCTGGATGCATCCTCAACGATCAAGGATACTGAGCTTCGGAATGGCGACTCTTTGACGTTTCAAATGCCCGGAATCCAGATCCAGGGCTGTGGCGGCGCTTTTGCTGCCATTCTTGGCGACGGATCCGTGCAGACCTGGGGTGATGCTGCCTTTGGTGGCGACAGTAGTGCTGTGCAGGATCAGCTGACGGACGTGCTAGAGATCCAAGCCTCTGGTGCGGCTTTTTGTGCAGGCCCTTACGATGGAATTTTCGGCGGCGCTTTTGCTGCCATTTTGCGCGACAGATCCGTGGTGACTTGGGGTCTTGCTGTTGCCGGTGGTGACAGTAGTGCAGTGCAGCATCAGCTGAAGAACGTGCAGCAGGTCCAAGCCTCTGAGCGTGCTTTCGCTGCTCTTCTAGCTGACGGGTCTGTCGTGGCCTGGGGGAATGCTAAGTTTGGTGGAGACACTAGTGCTGTGCAGACTCAGCTAAAACATGTCCAGCAGATCCAAGCCTCTTCGTATGCTTTTGCAGCGGTTCTTGGCGACGGATCCGTCGTTACGTGGGGTGATTCTTACGATGGTGGCGACAGCAGCGCTGTGCAGGATCAGCTGAAGAACGTGCTGGGGATCCAAGCCTCTGAGTCTGCTTTTGCTGCCGTTCTTGGCGATGGCTCGGTCGTGACCTGGGGTCCTGTACGCTTTGGTGGCGACAGCAGTGCTGTGCAGCATCAGCTGAAAAATGTGCAGCAGATCCGAGCCTCTCAGGCTGCTTTTGCTGCCATTCTAGGTGATGGATCCGTCGTGACTTGGGGTAGCGCTGATGATGGCGGTGACAGTAGTGCTGTACAGCACAAGCTGAACATGGTGCAGCAGATCCAATCCAATTTCAACGCTTTTGCTGCCATCCTTGGTGATGGTTCCGTCGTTACCTGGGGCAGTGCTCACAGTGGTGGCGACAGCACTGCTGTGCAGGATCAGCTGAAGAACGTGCAGCAGATCCAAGCTTCTCTTGCCGCGTTTGCTGCCATTCTTGGAGATGGATCTGTCGTGACCTGGGGTGATATTGCCTTTGGTGGTGACTGTAGTGCTGTGCAGGCGCAGTTGAAGAATGTCCGGCAGATCCAATCCTCTGAAACTGCTTTTGCCGCCATTCTCTGCGATGGCTCTGTCGTGACCTGGGCTGCTGTTTACTCTCACTATGACGGTGACAGTAGTGCTGGGCAGGATCAGTTGAAGATGGTTCAGCAGATCCAAGCTTCTGGCGATGCTTTTGCTGCCATCATTGGTGACACAGTCGTGACCTGGGAGAACCCATGCGGTGATGTATCTGTTGTGACCCGGGATGCCCTCAGCGGTGACAGTAGCAACAGGGAGTAGGACCTGAGTAGGAGCCGCCCGCAACAGCTGCTTAGCTAGCCGTTGAGAAGAGTGTCCTGGCAGCCGCACAGCATTTTGCTTCACTGTGTCCGGGCTTTCAGATCGTAATGTGGACTGTTTGCACGCTCATGGTACAAGACCTGTGTAAGCGCCGCGAGGACTGTGATCCCCGATATTGTCATCCAGACTCTGTTTAGACCCTGCTGCAGCACTAGAAACTCGTGAGCCCGCTGTAGATCTACAACAGGAAGTACGAAGCAATCAGGCCCACAAGCGACTCAACAAGTACACCCTGCAAGCCCCAAACCCTAAGCGGCAAATGAGTGCAACCAACGAGGAAACAGGGGCTCTTGATCTAGAAGCCTACCTTTTCACAGAATCTTTCTACTTCAGAGTTAGGGGTCACAGGCCTAACTTCGTAGGTTGCGAACCACTCTTTAGAGTGTGCCCTCAAGCATTCCTGCTGCTGTCACCACCATACGCAAGCCCAGCTCTCCCAGCCGCACGTAATCAGAATGTAGACGCAAGGCGGACACCCTGAACCCTAAACCCTACATCCTAAACAGTAGACCTTCGGGCGTCGCAGAAACAGTGGACAGCAAGATTTTAAAGCTTCCCTCCAGCCTGTGACGTAGGAACCCGATGAAGAAACCTTGAGCTTTTACTAGGATTCCTCATATGAAACCTACGATTTTGGATGTCTCAATCAGCTACCTACATCAGCTCAAACTCCACCAGCTGTCTTGACCACCGGCTTTACAGCCTTCGGCTCGGAGGTCCCATGACATACTGTAGAGGCCTAAATGGGAGTTTCCGAAAAAAGGATACTTTACTTAGGGTCCTTATAATAAGGATCCTATTATATAGGGTACTATATTAGGGTCCGCTATTTTGGGAAACCCCCAAATACAATTACCGATACTACCTTTAAAGGGATCCTGAAGGGTTCCTGTAAGGGACCTGTAGGGTTTAGGATAGGGGCTTTAATTAACTACCAATACTGTCTTGGGGGTTCCGTTTTATAAGTATAGTATGATGGGCCCCAAAACCCAATTCTAATTATGAAGGTCCCTATCTTACCTATACTACCACCTGCGACCAGAGAAACGCCAAGACACCTTGACACCCGTCTGGCTTCGACAGCCTAGAGCCAAGATAATGAAGTGAACAGTTAGGAGCATCTAGCCTATATCCCACATAAGGGTTTAGGGTTTAGGGTCACGTTCAGACCGTCTATCCTATCGCACATAAGGTTTAGGGTTTAGGGTTAAGTTAGGGCATCTACCCTATCCCAGATAGGGTAGTTGTCCCAACTATGTTACATGTCTTTGTTTGCTCTGGCAAAGGACTAAGAAGCCGCACCTAAACCAGAGATGCCCCACACTCCTGCAAGACTCAACTCTTGATTCATATGCTGGGATAGTTCTGACCTTCAACATGTCGATCACGGTCATAGTAGGACTGCTCAGTGGCAGGACAGTCACTGTGACAGCAGGCTTGGCAGATAGCGTCCGATCGCTGAGCTTGCAAGCACAGACTGCACTTGGAGTTGGCCCAGGACGACTGGTGCACTCGTCTGGGCGCATTCTGGATGCATCTTCAACGATCAAGGATACTGAGATTCAGAATAGGGACTCTTTGACGTTTCAAACGCGCGGAATCCAGATCCAGGTTTGCGGCGGCGCTTTTGCTGCCATTCTTTGCGACGGATCCGTCCAGACCTGGGGTGATGCTGCCTTTGGTGGCGACAGTAGTGCTGTGCAGGATCAGCTGAAGGATGTGCTAGAGATCCAAGCCTCTGCTGCGGCATTCGGTGGCGCTTTTGCTGCCATTTTGCACGACACATCCGTGGTGACTTGGGGTCTTGCTGTTGCCGGTGGTGACAGTAGTGCAGTGCAGCATCAGCTGAAGAACGTGCAGCAGGTCCAAGCCTCTGAGGGTGCTTTCGCTGCTCTTCGAGCTGACGGGTCTGTCGTGGCCTGGGGGAATGCTAGCGGTGGTGATACTAGTGCTGTGCAAGCTCAGCTAAAACATGTCCAGCAGATCCAAGCCTCTTCGTTTGCTTTTGCTGCCATTCTAGGTGATGGATCAGTGGTGACTTGGGGTTATGCTGGCTCTGGTGGCGACAGCACTGCTGTGCAGGATCAGCTGAAGAACGTGCAGCAGATCCAAGCCTCTCAGTCTGCTTTTGCTGCCATTCTTGGCGATGGCTCGGTCGTGACCTGGGGTCAGGTACGCTATGGTGGCGACAGTAGTGCTGTGCAGCATCAGCTGAAACATGTGCGGCAGATCCAAGCCTCTTCGTATGCTTTTGCTGCCATTCTAGGTGATGGATCCGTGGTGACTTGGGGTTATGCTGGCTCTGGTGGCGACAGCACTGCTGTGCAGGATCAGCTGAAGAACGTGCAGCAAATCCAAGCCACTTCAGAGGCTTTTGCTGCCATCCTTGATGACGGATCTGTCGTGACCTGGGGCAGTGCTCACAGTGGTGGCGACAGCACTGCTGTGCAGGATCAGCTGAAGAACGTGCAGCAGATCCAAGCTTCTCTTGCCGCGTTTGCTGCCATTCTTGGAGATGGATCCGTCGTGACCTGGGGTGAGGCTGCCTTTGGTGGTGACTGTAGTGCTGTGCAGGCTCAGCTGAAGAATGTTTGGCAGATCCAAGCCTCATGAGATTGCTTTTGCCGCCATTCTCTGCGATGGTTCTGTCGTGTCCTGGGATGCTGTTGACTCTCACTATGCCGGTGACAGTAGTGCTGGGCAGGATCAGTTGAAGATGGTTCAGCAGATCCAAGCTTCTGGTAAGGCTTTTGCTGCCATCATTGGTGACATAGTCGTGGCCTGGGAGAACCCACGCGGTGATGTATCTGTTGTTGCCCGGGATGCCTTGAGCGGTGGCAGTAGCAACAGGGAGTAGGACCTGAGTAGGAGCCGCCCGCAGCAGCTGCTTAGCTAGCCGTTGAGAAGAGTGTCCTGGCAGCCGCACAGCATTTTGCTTCACTGTGTCCGGGCTTTCAGATCGTAACGTGGACTGTTCGCACGCTCATGGTACAAGACCTGTGTAAGCGCCGCGAGGACTGTGAGCCCCGATATTGTCATCCAGACTCTAGACTCTGTCCAGGGTCTACAACACTAGAAACCCGTGAGCTCGCACAGCCCTACAAGACCCAAGAAAGCCCCCTGACTGCTTGCAAGGGCAGAAGCAGCAGCCCAACTACAAAATGGGCGGCTGCAAGCCCTCCAGCCGCAGTTAGACGTGAGGGCCTGGTCCGGTTCGCGTGTGTGTTCTATATAAGTCTAGCTATAGAGAGAGAGAGAGAGAGAGAGAGAGAGAGAGAGAGAGAGAGAGAGACGAAGATAGAGATATTTTCTTTCTCTGCCTATAGGTATCTCTCTCTTTCTCTCTCTGTCTCTCTCAATCTCTCTCTCCCTCTCTCTGTCTCTCTCTCTCTCTGGCTCTCGCTCTGTTTCCCTTCATACCGGCCTTATAAGGGAGGGTCGACGGGCTATAGAGGGTCGCAGGTGTTTACTGCTTAGGTCCATGAGACCCCATATTCAATTCTTGACTACGTGCCATGGACCTGTACTTTACGGTTTAGGCTTAAGGTTCTGTTCAGGGTTTTTACAATGTTTCAGCAAGAGTGGCCATGTGCCTTTACATTAAACCCTAAACCCTAAGCCTAAACCTATATACTGCCTTGAACTGAAAGGGTTTTCGATGCAGACATAGATGTTCAGGCTGAGGTGTCTACGATATGGCTACATGAACTCTGATAATCTGAGCGCTTGAGTTACTGATATACAGCCGTTATAGCACTCTTTTCGCGGTTCTTGGAGGTCCCCTCAAAGGGGCGAAGGAGCCAGATTCCACGGCCGTGACATCTGCTCAAGAAATCTTTGCAACACGACTCCGTGAAGCCTGAACCGAAACCTCGGGGCCACGAGGTCAACGCCGAACCCCCAGAACCGAAAGCTGGAAGCTTAAACCGTGGAACCCACAAACCATACTTTACAGCATCATGGGACTCAGCAACCATGGTTATACATGAGTAATCGTACTTATTCCTTATAGCCCCACATTTAGGTACTTACTAAGTCCCACAATCCTCCAAGTACCTCAATATCAATCCGGCGTTGCATCAAAACAGCCCTAGCACATGGAATGACTCAGGTGGTGCAGATGGTCGGCCAGGATTCTTTCGAACAGGCTTTGCACTTCTGCCTTTGGCCCCCAAAAGTTTCCCCTTGGAGCAACACGACATAAGAGAAAGATCCCCCGCACCCTAAAACCGAATCCCGAAACCCTTCTCTTTGCAGGGGAAATAGTGGGATATCAGGTGTGTTTCATATATGTGTATATATACTTATACATATATACACACACATATGATACCCCCCTCTACGTATACACATAGATAAACAAATATTTATGTATATATACTTATGTATTCATATATCCTGCAGATATGTAGGCCCAGGAGGGTTCCTCCGTGGAGTGTTTCGCTTTCATTGGAGATTTGGGGCTCTCGGGTTTGCTCAAAACTGGGCTGACGAGGGTTTAAGAGTTTATGGGTCAGACCCTGAACCCTACCCAGAGACTCCAATATCCCTTCATAAAGGAATATTCCTTAAATCATAGTAGGGATCCTACTATAATTTAAGGTATATTCCTTAATTAAGGGATATTGGAGTCTCTGGGTATAGTAATGTACGGGCCTAAAGAAGTACCAATACTATTTTGCATGGGGTTCTTTATTGTAGTTGTAGTATAATGGGCACCAAAACCCTATTAAACATCATTAATCAAGGCGCGGATAGTACCCTGATAGAACCCGAAAGCAATCGTTACACTTTGAACAAAAGCCCTTGTAAAGGAACTCGAAAGTATCTTATAGGAACCTTTACATGAACCCTTCGACGAACCTTTACTGGAACGACCCTTTACAAGAACCCTAGATTGTTGTAGCTTGCTTACATTAATTGCATTCCTAAGCCCCAGACCCGGAGCCTTCTATTATAGTAATCATTAGTTTAGGGTTTAGGGTTTAGGGTTTAGGGTTTAGGGTTTAGGGTTTAGGGTTTAGGGTTTAGTAATCATTCGTAATCCTTAAATAGCCGCTAACGGAACCTTTCTGGCAGGCTGTAAGCCGGAGCTCGGATGCCAAAGCGCCAGGAGCCTGGAATTCGGGCCGTTCGGGTTTCGTTTTGCTTTAATACAGGGGCCTTCATAATTACCTATACAATGTTGGTGGTTCCTGAAAAAATATAAAAAAAGGGCCCCCAAACCCTATTCTAATTATTGAGGCCCCTTACTTTCTCAGGGTTTCATGGTTAGGCCTAAGAGTTGCAGGGTTTCTTTTTGTCGGCTCGTCATTGTATTGTGCATGGTTCTGCAAGGGTATATGGTTCGTTTGGGTGGGTAGGTGTAGGGCATTGCGAGTGCTTAGGGGGAGGGGCTTTGGGCTTTTCAGGCTTTGGGATGTTCGCAACAGAAGCGCGCTGAGGGAACCCACTTTTCCCGTTAGCCACAAAGGCCCAAGGCCGTCCATGCATTGTTTAATATTGTTTTGGGACCTGTTACTTAAAGGGATCCGAACACTAAGCCCTAAACCCTTTTTGGGACCTGTTACTTAAAGGGATCCAAACACTAAGCCCTAAACCTTAAACCCTTTTTGGGACCTGTTACTTTAAGGGATCCATCATGAACTAAAAAACCATACTTGTTCTCTTCTGTACTTCAAAGCCCAGTATAAGGCTTCGGACTTTCTAGTCCCGAAACCCTAAACCCTGAACCCTAAACTCTAAACCCTATACCCTGAACCGCTTTATAGAGCTTTCATAAAGCATTAAGACCCAGACGGACCAAAACCCCTCGGGGTCCGAGTACCTATAGTTATCATAGACGTTTTCAACATGGGAGTTTCCTAATATTGAGGGGGGGGGTACCGTATTTTGGGGTCCTTCTGATAAGGCTGATAAGGATCCTACTATTTAGGGTACCATATTAGGGTCCCCTATTTTCGGAATCTCCCAGATAGTAACCTACACAACTACTATCCTAAATCCGAGTACCTGATTATCGGGTCCTTTGGACGCTTGAGCTTGCAACACTGGAGCCCCTAAACCTCTGACCTTCGAGGGATCTCCCCTCTCATACTGAACCCTACGGTAAATGGTTAGTTTAGGGTTCAGGGGAAACTCTAAACCCCCCGCCTCCCCGCCCGCCGAGTGTGCTGTGCTGCAACGTGCAACGTGCCCCCCAGAAGTTTGAGTTGTCTCCACAGATCCCTCAAACGTCAAATCCAAGCCCACGATAGGCAGCACTTTGACGCGTGACCCCCCTAATGCCCTCGACCCTAAATTCCTTGAAGCCTAAAGCCCTACAGCCCTGAACCATAAACGCTTCTGAGAGTCCGAGGTCCCGCAAGGGCCGTGGCAAAGGCATTTTTGCAACAGGCCTAAGCTTCCTCGTGTTGGGTTGTCTGCCCGATTGGGTAGGCATGGGATGGAACCTTTTTCGGGTTTGCTTGAACTAGATATCGATTTGGGACATTGGCTCATTTCCCTTATTGTTTAATCTAGAGGTTTAATTTCAAACAATTTGGGGGACTCTTCACATCGACACCTAGTTAGGGGCAGTATCAAAGCCTTAAAGCCTAAACTGCCTAAACCCTAAACGGCAAAACAAGCCTAAACTCTAAAGGGTAGTATAGGGCCCCCAAACCCTAAACCTCAACCTTAAACCCTAAAGCCGGCAGGGCAAAAAAGCCCTAAACCCTACTTGGAGGGGCAGGGGACTTAGTAAGTCGTTTATAAGTAGGGTTATAATGGGGGTAACTCCATTTAGGGTACTTATAGCTCTACTTATAACCTACTTACTAAGTCCCCTGCCCTTCCAAGTAAGGGGTAGGAAGGGGTTCTTTGACGGTACCGTAAAGGATTCGCATCGTGCTCTCTGCAGTTGCTTCAAGATTTCAGGGCTTGAGCCCTGGACCCCACCTGTGGCGCCCAAAAACGCCAACTTGTTAAGCAAGTCTATAAGAATCTCCAAATCCTGCATTACCCATAATAAGGAATATACCGTAATTTCCATAGTTTAGAGGCCTTAGTGTAATGCAGGATTTGTGTCATCAACCCTAAACCCTAAAACCCTATAGATCCCTTAAAGGACCCCTTAAAGGTACCCTTGTAGATCCCTTTAAAGGAACCCCCATCAACCGTTAAACCTCTGTCTTGGACTTCTGGAGCCTCTTCCTCGCGAGATGAGGCAAGCGATTGGTTTCCTCCCTGAGGTTTAGGGTTTAGGGACCAGAAAGATATATGATATGCCTGGGAGCATGGCAGTCACACCTCCAAGCCCCAAGTTCAAGCAAACAGAAAGCTAACCAAAGCCCGTAAAATCTGGACTTTAGGTTTTGAGGGCTTAGTGGTGTACTTACCTTTGGTTAGTAGGGAATGGAAGAATGGTAGTAGTAGTAGTTACAATTGTACCCCATTCCTCCATTCCCTACTCACCAAAGGTAAGTGTAGGGGCTTTGTGTTTAGATGTGTGCGGGGCTTCGTGGTGTCAGGTTTGAGCTGCCTCAGGTCTTGGTCGTGGTGTTCCCAAAGACTCCAAGATCATCCAAGATCCCTTACAGTAATTAAAGATCATACCTTAAGTGATATTAGGGATCCTACTATAAGTTAAATGATACTAGGTATCCTGCTGTAATTTAGGTGTATTCCTTAATTAACGGATGCTGGAGTCTCTAGGTTGGGGGTTTAGAACTTGTAAGATCCCTACCCTTTGTGTGCACCGGGACTCCACCGCCCTCCTTCCGCCAGGAATTCACTTCCTTGTGTTTCCACGCGGTCACGGTGGCGCACATGTACAGGCCCCTACGAAGCACCGAACCGAAGCCCTAAACCCAAACCGGAGCCCTGAAAGTTTCAGGGAAAATCACCAACATTCAAGCCCACAACACCCCAAACCAGCGAAAGGAGCCACAACTCAACGAAGAACCCGAAGCCCTAAACGGAAGTCCTAAACTTAGAGGGTTGGGGGTTGGTGTGGCTCCTCACAGCTTCTTCGCTTGCAGCACACGCTTCTAGCCCTCAAGATTTTCTACTTGGAGGTTCGATTCATGGGACTTGTTTGCTACATTCATGAGTACCTTGACTGTGAGTAGTCATAACTAGTTATACGTCTGGTTCCCCTACACACTCATCCCCCTGAACCTCCAAGTAAGGTCCTAAGCCCCTATGTACTATGTACACCGAACGTGGGACCAGCGCACCTAAACCCTAAACCCTAAAAGCCTACGACAGCAATCCCAGCTGCGGACGTCTGAAATCAGCCACCCGTTTATTTTTTTCCCACCTACTTGGAGGTTCATGGGACTTAGTGACTAGAGTTCCCTTTAAGGGTTTAGGGTCTACTTAAAGGTTCATGGGACTTAGTGGCTAGGGTTATAAATAACGTAACTATACTTATAATTGGCTACAACCCCAGTTAACGTACATATAACGGTACTTACTAAGTTCCATGAACCTCCAAGTAGGGCATTCAGAGGAGGGTAGGTTTGACGAGTAAGCTTCAAGGTGTAGGTATTGTGATGACCATAAAGATTCAGGGTTCGGTTGTTGTGATTGAAAGCTTAAGGCTGTCCAGTCTGGGGCCACAAGTTTAAAGATTAGGGCTCCTTGGCCACAGATACCTCGCCACATGAAAGATCGTGTGGAGATTGCGAAGGACCGCCTCAGTGATGTGCGGGTCTCACCTGTACCTTTTTATTTAACAGATCTGTCTATCTACCTATCCAAGCTACCTTTGTACATACTGGACATGTATTACATATGTACACATATACGTATGTATATATATATAGATAGATAGATATAGATATATCTGTATATACATGTGATTTCCGCGTTCGCGGTTGTCTCAGGTTTCCATACACAAACACGCAGCATCTATTACAATCAGTAGCTTCAAACTGCAATCCAAAGACTCCGTCTAAGTCGCTACGCTTTCAATTCCATGGTACCTTTAAAGGGTTCCTTTAAAGGGTTCTATAGGGTTTAGGGTATATGGGTCCATGGTACCCACATAGTAGGTAGTTAAGCCTTAAAGGGGTCTCTATGTAGTACTTTCAGGCCTAAGTATACACTCTATGGGCACATGGAGCCTTAGGGACAAGGGTGTTGTGCCTTTTCTGCGGCCCTTTGGGCTTCAAAGCCTCAAGGTCTCCATGTTCAAAAGGCATGCCTTGCAATGCATCCCCCAGGACCCCCCAAGGGCCCTTTAATAGAGTCCTTATGGGCATCCGTCAAAACTTCGGTAATTGTAGTTAAGAGTAGGGTAATGTCGGATCTTACCAATTTCCTTGGAAAGCGATAGGAACCCCCCCGAAGCGATACGATCAACGAAGGTCATCGGTTGTGACATTTCCGTGCAGCGGCAACATTTGTGCCAAAATTTTCCGTGTGACGTATGGCTGGGCAGTCGCTACCCTAATCGATACCCAATCGATACCCTAGTCGATACCTACCAGATCGTTTTATGAGCCACTGCCCCACGCAGTAAAGGGCAGCAGAGGGCAGTGAAGGGCAGTACAGTGCAGTGAAGGGCAGTAAAGTGCAGTGAAGGGTAGTAAAGTGCAGTAAAGGGCAGTAAGGGGCAGGTAAAGGGCAGTAGAAGGCAGTAAAGACCAGTAAAGGGCAGCAAAGGGCGGTAAAGGGCAGTAAAGGGCAGGTAAAGGGCAGTAAAATGCAACAAAGAGCAGCAAAGGGCAGGGCAGGCTACGAGTAGGATGAGTGAGTCGGATGTTCTTCTGACTTTCACAAGAGCACGCGATACCTCGCAGAAACATGTGACGGAATCCTTGTAAAGCGATAGGACCCCCCCCCCCCAAATCATCCATGGTCTAGCCATGAACAAGAAGTTTTGACAAACGCTCTTATGGCCCTGACAGTAATTGTGGGGATTTGTGGTATATTGGAGGGTAATTGGCGTCTAGGCCAGTATCACGTTCCAGGCTGCTGGCATGAAGGGATCCCCTAACCGTCGCTAGGACTACGTTGACCCAGTTCTTCTTTCCTCTACGGACGTTCGCACCGCCCCCAGCATTCCGGCTTCGACAGCTGTTTCTTTCCAAGCTTAATGTCATCGTTATTACTGATTGCAGAATTTAAAGAAGCGACTGTGGAAAACTTCAAGCGCTTAACGTGGTTGGTGTATCTTTAATACGTGTTTATGTGTGTATTCATTGGTGGAGATGTTTTATACTTTACACCTGTTCGGTTAACGTTCAAAATCTGTGTGTATGTCCATGTACACAATGACAATCTTCAGAGGCTTCAACATGTAAAGGTGTAAAGCTGTAGAGATAGATAAGCAGATAGATAGCTGACTGCTACTGGTAGCGAGCGAGCTAGATGGGTGGTTAGATAGAACTGTATTTGGATAGCTAGCTAGGTGGGTAATTAGGTAGGTAGTGGGTAGATAGGTGCATAGCTAGACAGACAGATAGACATAGATATATATATATATACACATAGATACAGTCGGGCTTTGTTACTCACATCTAGGATGTGGTGACAGGTGCCGTACTGATTCAGAAGTTGAATCCCCAAGCTCTGAACTGCAGCCTATGAAGAACCCCGTCTAAGTGTTCCAAGTGCCCGGCTTGGAAGACATTCCCACCCCAAAGGAAGAACTTCAGAAACACCCAGAAGCCCTTGAATCATTTATCTGGTGCCTGGGTGATAACCTTAACCTTGTTCTAAAGCCTACACCTTGAATACTAAGAATATTGGCCTCGACAGTGGTTGCGAGGTAGTCTATTCAACGAGTGCATCTCAATGAGGGCGTTCTGAACTGTGAGTGTCCTTACCAACCCTGCAATGCGGGCAGCGTCCTAGTTAGGCGAGAGGTGAAAGCCCCGGGCCCAGATCCCAATCACTGAACCCTAAACCCACAACCCTAAAACGCAAGCCAATTCTAGGCAGGTAACCCTATGGGTCCAAGTACCTGATAATTGATCATGTTCTCTTCCAAATACTAACTTACACTACGTACTACTGTCCTGAACCCGACTGCTTTATCCATATATATATATATATATATAGTATACATATAGATACACATGATTATACACACATGAAGCTCTCTCTGGTACTGTTGCCATAGATCCTGAACCACAAGCACAGCCATGGTTAGCGTAATAACTTCGAGTCAGTTGTTGAGGGTGTCCGACACTTCCGAAGGCAGGCTTCGAATTCAGGCCGGAAGGCTTGAATAGGTCCAGGGTTTCGGGTTTACCCTAAACCCTAAACCCTTGATGATATAAATCCTGCATTATTTTAAGAACCCTAAACTGCGGGAATTATGGTGTATTCCTTATTCTGGGTCATGCAGGATTTATATCATCAACCGTAGGTCTAGGGTTTCGGGTTTACCCTAAACCCCATGGAGGTCTGGTTCACGCGTCGTAGATGACTTAGGCTTCGGGAGTTGCTTGCCGAAAATACTGAGTTATTGGAGACTAAAGCCTCACTGCCGATAAGCCTGAAAACCCAGCTGGGTAGTTGTCAAAATTATATGCCCTTGTTGGGTACCCTAAATATTAGGTGCCGTATTATAATGAGGACCCAAAAATGGACCCTAGTTTTGACAACCACCCAGCTGTTGTTGACCTTGCTCGTCGCCTAATTTGAAGGGTCCATGTACCCAAATAGCATATCCTTTGGCCCTTAAGTACCTATATAGGGACTTCTTGGCCAAAGTATATATATATATATATATTATTTGGGTACAGGGACCCTTCGGGTCGTCACCTAATTTGAACTCTTTAGGGCTGTCGGAGTGATGGTTTCATCGTCATTTTGCTGTATGGAAGTTTCCGAAAATTGGGGGCACCTTACTTTTGGGGGTCCTTGTAATAAGGATCCTACTCTTTGGGGTATTGTATAAGGGTCCCCTATTTTCGGAAACTCCCGTATCATCTCTGTGTTGTTTGATTCGCTCCGTGCTCTAAGTGTTGATGTAGGTGGCGAAGGGTGCTTTCTCGAGTAGTTTCCATAAGGCCGAAGCTGTGAACGCTGAACCCTCAGCATAGAACCTCAAAACCCTCATTGGCATGTTGCCTTGCAGGTGCATTGGCATGCACATCTGAAGGCGCGTGTGGCGGCTTGTGCCCTTGACCTTCTTATACAATACAGGGGCCTAAACAATTACCAACACTATTTTGAGGGTCCCTTATCACAAGTATAGTATAATATAATCCCAACACGCATTATAATTATTAAGCCCCCTATAGTATAGTACCCTTATAGTACCCCTTATAGAGCCCTTTTTATGAAAGCCTTTCAAGGAACCCCAATAGAACCCCTATAGTAGACCATTTTCCCGTTCAGGCTTTGGGGTTTCGGGTGTCAGGTTGATGGGTAGGGTTTAGGTTCCCAAAGGCTCCATGTACCTTAATAGTAGATACTTAAGCCTTAAAGGGGTCCCTATATAGGTACTTTAAGGCCTAAGTATATACTATATGGGTACATGGAGCCTTAAACTTATATGTAATTATAATCCCAATTAGGGTACTTATAACTGTACTTACTAAGTCCCATGAACCTCCAAGTGGGGTTTCGGTTACGGAGGCGCAGCTGACATACGCAGAACTCTCTCTGGCTGCTTGCTTGCCTTGTCGTTCAGGGCCCTCCACCTCTAGGGTTTAAGGTAAGGAACCCAAGAGTGGGTTTCCGAAAATAGGGGACTGATAATTACCCCAAAATCAGCTACCCCTAATTTTCGGAAACTCCCAAGATGCATCCTAATCCCGATTGCCAGCGATTTTTCACATCGACCCTCAGATGTCCATCCTGGCGCATGGAGCACGCAGCCCAGAGACTCCAACATCCCTTAAGTAAGGAATATTGCTTAACCCATATACAGCATCCTACTATAGCTATTATTTCGCGCATACTCCTGAATTAAAGGACACTGGAGTCTCTGGGAGGGTCAGTCATATGACAATGCTACATCCGCAACATCCCTGATTCCTAGGTCCTAGAGCACTTACAACCGTCAATGGGAAACCTGCCTCGGAATGTTACCCTATGGGTCCAAGTGCTCAAGTGCCGGAAACCATTCGGAGAATGAAATTTGGGTCCTAAAAATCCACTGATTATTGCGGTACTTGGACCCTTTGGGTTACAGCAAACCGCATAAAGTTGGAAACCTGATAAAGGTCAAGATTTGCTGAGATTCCCTATAAATTACTCTGAAGGATGGAGGCTATGGGGTTTCCAACTTTTGGGCTTCAACTGTCTGCAAGCACCAGAAGTAGCATCGCGAACCGCCAACCTTCTGCCTTTCCTGGCTGCACTTCAGTCGGTCATCAATGACCTCCTGCTCCTTCGTCTCAAAACTAAAGGAACTGTTTGAGAATAGAACTGTCTTAATGAAAAAGATATTTGTTCGGATGTTTCCGTTGTCTACTTCAGTTTGTGTCTGCACAAATACGGACATTGCAAGAATCTCGGATCATAGTGTTGAGCGGCGAACACAACACTTGGTCTGATGTTGAAAGTTTGGTCATTTGGCGCTGCAGCCCACAAATATGATCAAGCCATTGTTGCAGCCGACCCCACAACGCATTAAGCCCGTACCAGATTGAAGTGAACAGTAAACCTTCTGAAACTTATAGAGCCGGTTGTCAGAATCGCTCGTGCTTTACCAAGTAGGCTGCCCGCTTAGATTTCACTCCTGCTATCATCTCGACGAAATCACATGCCTCGGAAGGCAGGCTTGAGAGACTTCCACCCCTCAACTTTCAGAAGCCCGTAACCCGCCAACCCCGGACTTATACAGACGCTTTTGGGGTCCGCGTGCATGTCGTGTATACTCTGTTTTACGCTTCTACATGGAGTCCCCTTCATGGTGCATGGACCCTGAGCCCCTCCCTGAACCCTTCTGGTAATCAGCCTTATAGAACCCCGATATTACCCTAGGAGAACCTGTACTGGAACCCTTGAAATAACCCTTGTGGCCTCATGATACCGTTATGTAAAACTCTGGTTCCATCCTTATGTAGAGCCGGAGCCCTTACAGAAACCCCTTGAAGCACAGACCCTCTAATTGCGGACTATGCTTCAAACTATATTCAGAACGTCCTTATAATTTTCAGGTATATTCCTCAACTTGGAGTCTCTGAGGATTAACCCCTAAAGGAACCCGTGAGAAGAACCCAGTGACCCGTCGCGAGGCTTGAGTGGCCGAGTCCATCCTGCGCCGGCGGCCGAGTCTATAATCTTCATGAGGTTACCAAGAGGTGCTTGCAAGCATTTTTTGTATTCGTTTGTTTACTGTAACCCCTAAAGAAAAAGCTGTGTTTTTGCTTTTTGCAGGCTTTCCAAGTTAAGTTTTGGACTATAGGGCCCTAAACCCTAAACCCTAAAGTCAAGATCAGCGATGTCTTCTCCCCCCGAAGGCTTTACGCTTCAGGGCCGACGACATTTCGGTCGCCTGCTATGGCATCTACTAAACCCTACCTGTAGCCGGAAAGACCTACCTTTTTAAAGTTCCTTATTATGGTTTCTATATATAGTTCCTTAAAAAGGTAGGTCTTTTCGGCTACAGGTAAACCCTAAACCATTGGCATCTAGTACCAAGAGGTATTCGGCAAAAACGGTCCCAGAGTGCTCCCGGTCCGGTGGCGGCTTTACGATTCAGGGTTTAATGTAGCGGCCAGGGTTCCTTTAAGGGTTCCTGTAAGGATTACTATAATGGATCTACCATGGTACTATAAGGGGTATAGTATAGTAATGTAGGAACCTGACTAACAAACCCTGTCACAATAACCCCCAACATATAATGGACCCAAGGTTTCTTAACCAGGTTCCTACATTAGAGTGCGTGGCAACTTGTGCAGGGGTAGTCCATGGGTTGGCTTGCACTTCTGAGCCCTTAACTGATACTAGCTTCCAAAGGGTTCATGTACCTTTATAGTAGATACTTAAGCGTCAAAGGGGTCCCTATATAGGTACTTTATGGCCAAAGTATATACTATAAAGGTACACGGAGCCTTGGGGGGTGCAGCCAGATATATGGCAAGTATTAGCCTCTAGTCGTCCAGGCTCCAGTAGCCGAGCCGTAGTTTCTCTACACCCTACCCCGAAATCCTTGAACCCATTAAGCCCTGTGGACCAAGGTTGCAGCAACAAGTGATGGACATTTACACGCCCTGCCCTCGGACGGGTTGGATCTTATGTAAGGTTGCAGGACCCTAAGGCTCCGTGTGCCCATATAGTATATACTAGGCCTTAAAGTACCTATATAGGGACCCCTTTAAGGCTTAAGTATCTACTATAAAGGTACATGGAGCCTTTGGTGGAATGTAGCCCCGGGAATTCAGTTCGTATCCGTCAAGGCAAGGCTCAACGCCCCAACGCCTAAACCACACACCCGAAGGTGCCTCTGAACCTGCTCCCTGTTCGAGGTACGGTGGATGATCTAGATCCTGCACTACCTTGAAGACCCTAAACTATGGGAATTACTGTATATTCCTTATTCAGGGTAACGCAGGATTTATACCATCAACCGTAGCACGTTTGTGGTTTTGGTTTAGCTTATCACCCTAAGGGTCCAAGTACCTAATAATCAAACATATACTCTCCCAATGATAGACATACATAACTACTATCCTTAACCCCAGTGCCTCATTATGGGTTCTTTAGACCTTTGGGGATACTCTCCCATTAAGTGTGCAGCGTTCCATGCTCTTTGAGTGAACACGGTGTGCTCGCATGTTCCGCTGAGTGAGAGGTGTAGAGAGTAGGAACGTAGAAGTAATACGTAGAAGTATTACAGAATGCTCAGGGCGCCCCACTATAATTTTACCACGGCATGGCCCAAAACCCTAAACCCAAAACCCTCTATTCTGATGATGACAGCCCCCTACAGTTGGACGTGGAAAGGTTGGTTGCGGCAGCAGTGAGCCACTGAGCATACACTTGCGCCCCTACCTATAGTGTGTATTGTCTGTTGTAGTGCCTTGTCGGGGTTGCCCTATAGGATCCTGAGTATGTTAAGCAACAAGCTACTTTCTTGTCTCCCCAGTCCATACGACATCATATGCCTTTTACCCCCCGCCCCCCCCACTCCCCAAAGCAAACTCAGGTTCTGCAAGTCTACAATACTGAAGCCTTCCTCCCGAAAGACGTAAACTTCCGACACTCCGGAAGCCGTATAAAGAATAACAGAATAACACTTAGGAACAACCTTTGAACAGACATACAGTTTAATTACAAGATAAGTGAACATCCCACCCTAAACCCGAAACCCTACACCCTCAGCGCGAAACCCTAATCCCAGACCCTAAATCCCTACAGATCCCTGTAAAGGAACCCTTAGACCCTAAATCCCTGATCTGATCTCTGAGGCGCCCTCGCCAGTTCTTCTTGCTCTTCCTGGGGCCGCCGGGGTCTGGGAAGCCGGGGATCCCCAGCGGGTTAAAGCGTTTAGGGCTTTGGGGGTTAGGGTTTACGGCTTTAGGGGTTAAGGGTTTTGGGGTTTAAAGTTTAGGGTAAGCGGGGTAGGGTTTAGGGGCTGAGGGTTCCCGGTGCAAGAAGGGGCTTAGGGTTTGGGGGTTTGGGGTTTATGGCTTCCTGTTGTTTTGTACATAGACAGTTAATACAATGTACATATACATTTATAATATTTCTATTTGTTAATATATATATATATATGCATACATAAACAATGTTTCTATTTACGTATGTATCTACGGAGGGATGGACGGCTGACCGGCTGGCTGGCTGGCTGGCTGGCTGGCTGGCTGGCTGGGTGGGTGGATGGATGGATGGAAGGATGGATGGATGTGGATGGATGGATGCATGGATGTGTGGCTGTGTGGGTATATACATCTGAAGGTATGTGTGTATGTAAGTATGCATGTATATATGTGTGTATATATATATACACATGTACATGCATTTATACATGTATGTACAGAAATATATGTATGTTTATGTGTGTGCGTTCATGCAGCTATTTGTGTCTCTGCTTTTTGCTGTGAAGAATTTGAAGTAAGCGTTTTCCCACAACATGACGTTCAGTTTTGAGGCTGAGGTTTGAGGGTTTGGGTTCCGAGGCTGAGCATCCTAAACCTCTGCGATTGTGCGAGTGTGCGAGTCGAAACCCTAAATCCTAAACCCTACACCCTACACCCTTACAACCTAAACCGGCTTGGGGCTTTAAGGTTGGAAGTTGCCGGAGGCTCGTGGGGCCTTCTCACGGGCCATACTGGGATTTCCTTAACTTCCAACAGTGTGTTCTTAGACATCGATTGTGTTGACAGTCTTGCAAGGGTTATGCAGTCTAGGCTGCCTTTTTGAAGGCCTCTGCGAGGGTTTGGTGTCTCGTGTTCCGGATTTCTCCTCAGCAGCAAGCTTTTTGGTTAGCCTTGTTGAGTGCCTGGGGCCAGCCCCAAAACCCTCATCCAATACAAAACCCATCGAAACCCCATAACATTGTGCCTGAGAACACTAAAGCCCGACATACAAGAACATTGCTGTAAACCTTGAATCCTACATCCCTAAACTCATACAAAGATCGGCAGTGAAGCTGGGAACCCTGTAGTGGCCTAGGACGACCCTCGGCAGACAGTCGGATGCTCGGGCTGTGTCGGACCTATTGTGTGCTACAATCTATGGTGCTTTGGTGGGTAGTCTATGAATATAGCTAACTTTGTTATACCTAACCTTATGTTGATGATTGTATGTTTGTTTGCTCTTGGTATTGGCAATATCCTGGGCCTTGGTCTCAGCATTACAGTTTGTTGCTGTTATGTTTGTCAGTACCAGCGTCATTACTATAAATATTGTTATCACTCTGGAATTTCTACACTACTGCTACTACTACTACTACTACTACTACTACTACTACTACTACGCCGACGACTACTACTGCTACTGATACTGCTACTGCTACTGCTACTGCTACTACTACTACTACTACTACTACTACTACTACTACTACTACTACTACTACTACTAACTACTACTACTACTACTACTACTCCTCCTCCTCCTCCTCCTCCTCCTCCTCCTCCTCCTACTACTACTACTACTACTACTACTACTACTACTACTACTACTACTACTACTACTACTACTACTACTAGTACTACTACTTCTACTTCTACTACCACTGCTGCTACTACTATCATTATGAAACCATTTTCATCATGTCTTCCATCTTTTCTTCTTCTTCTTGTTATTATGAAGAATACTAGTGTAGCTCGTATTTGTATTCTCGTAGTAGTAGCCGCCGTAGAACCAGTAGAAGCTACTATTACTATGCGTGTTGCTACGTTTGTTATTGTTGCAGACCTTTCAAAACCCTTTCATATAATTAAAGGGATCCTACCCAAATTGAATGTATATTCCTGAGTTACTTAAGGTGTTTTTGCAGGTTTGAGTGCTTTGAGCCTTGGGTTGCGTGGTTTTGGAGATCAAGGGCTGGAAGAGCTAAAGGCGCTTTGCAAGACCTACATTAGAAGGGGCCCCTACCCCGTAATTGTGACATATTGTGACTAAAAGGATTATATTAGGGCTCTATTATATTCCTATTATACCACTATTACAGGGTGGGGGCCCCTTCTAAGACCTACATTAACTCCAAGTAACCTACCTGTTTAAGGGCCTTCATAAGGAAATCATACTAGGGAACGCTACAAAGCAAGGTTTTACAGGGTCCAGGTATTTCATAAACAGGCCCTAAACCCTAGACCCTAAACCCTAAACCCATAAAGAAATCATACAACACCTACCCTAAACCCTAAACCTTGAACCCTAAACCCTAAACCTTAAACCCCAAACCCTAAACCCTAAACCCTAGGGCCCAGGTAAGGCTTGAGGCTCTGAGTCTAGAGCTTGAAGCCGGCCTTCACAAGCCCCGAAGCCCGAAGTTCCAAAACCTGCAGCTGTTTAGGGGTTTAGGGGTTTAGGCTTTAGGAAGCTGGCGGGGCCTGACAGCGACTGAGTGCCCTGGAGAGAGAGAGAGAGAGAGAGAGAGAGAGAGAGGCTTTAGGGTTTAGAGGTTTAGGGTTTAGAGGTTTAGAGGTTTAGGGTTGCCGACATGGCTACAGGATATCCAATATCCAGTTATATATTCGGGGAGATGGCCGCCTGCACCCCAAAGGTTTATTCTCAGGGCCTTATAAAACCCCTGTTGCCAAAAGCAAGTAAAGCTTATGTAGAAATGTCCTGTAAGGCTGACATCCCTAAGCCACTAAACCCTAAACCCTAAACCCTAAACCTTAAACCTTCGAGAGCTTTCCGCGGTGCAGAAATCCTGCAGGTCAGCGCCTGGGTTCGTCAAACTGAACCCCCTGAATGGGTTCTATAGGGGTTCTTTTCAGAGATTGCTTTCAAGGATTGCCATACTTTTTATAAGGGTCACTACAAGGGTTTACTGTAGGGTTTAGGGTGCAAGATTTACGGATTTGTGGTTAAGGGTTGTCAGGCTTGTTCTAGTTGTGTTTGCTAGTGTCTCTCGGTTATAAGCGAAACGTTGGTCCACGTAGGTGAACGGCGGCATTTGATGAATAGCCCCTCTCCCTCAACAAGAACTACAAATTTCGGATTATGTATGGGAACAGCCAAAGTTCACCCTTCCTGCTGGTTCAAGGCTTCAGGTTTAGAGAGCCTTTCCGTCTCAACCCTAACAACCGAAGAGACCAGGACTTAACTGTTGTTCGACCGAGCGCGAATTGGATCTCAGAGAGCTTTTTGATGAGATAGGTGGCATAGCATGAGCTTGTTTCAGATTGCATGGTGCTTGGGGTTTTAGGGTTTAGGTATATGACAATGATACTGAACGTAACAAGTCGAAGGTCGAAGACGGATACCTTCCAAAGTGTAGTGGGTATTCGAAGTTTGTAGTTCCATCTCCAGTGCACAACATGCCAATGTCTGTGGAGGTTAATCTGCTCAGTGGCAAGACAGCTACTGTCAAGGCAGGCTTGGATGAAGATGTGGAAGCATTGAAGCTTCGGGCGCAGATTGCCCTTGGAGTTGGAAGAGGGTGTCTGGTGGACTCAGCCGGTAGCATTGTGGATTCCTCTGCAGCGATCAAAGATTCCAATGTGCAGAATGGTGATTCCTTGACCCTGCAGATAAGACGAGTTGAAGTTGTTGGCTCTGCCACTGCGTTTGCTGCCATCCTTGGCGATGGATCGGTGTCGACGTGGGGCTGCGGCTATGGTGGTGACAGTGGTGCTGTGCAGCATCAGTTGCGGAATGTGCGTCAGGTCCAAGCCTCTGCACAGGGTGCTTTTGCTGCCATTCTGCGCGACGGATCCGTAGTGGCTTGGGGTAATGCTAAATTTGGTGGTAACAGCAGTTCTGTGCAGGATAAGCTGAAAACTGTTCAGAAGATCCAATGCGGTTTTGGTGCTTTTGCCGCCATTCTGGGTGATGGTTCCGTCGTGACATGGGGCCACCCTCAGTTTGGTGGTGACAGCTGTGCTGTGCAGGATCGGCTGAAAGATGTGCAGCAGATCCAAGCAACTCTCAGCGCTTTTGCCGCCATTCTCGGCGATGGATCTGTTGTGACCTGGGGCAATGCTGGAAATGGTGGAGACAGCAGTGCTGTGCAGGATCAGCTGAAAAACGTGCACCACATCCAAGCCACTTACGATGCTTTTGCTGCCATTCTTGGCGATGGAACCGTCGTGACCTGGGGTGATGCTGCTTGTGGTGGTGACAGCCGTGCTGTGCAGGATCGGCTGAAGACTGTACAGCAGATCCAAGCCACCAGAACCGCTTTTGCTGCCATCCTGACAGATGGATCTGTCGTAACCTGGGGGATGGCTCACCAGGGTGGTGACAGTAGTGCTGTGAAGGATCAGCTGGTGAATGTGCAGCAGATCCAAGCCACTAATGACGCTTTTGCAGCCATCCTGGCAGATGGATCTGTCACGACCTGGGGTGGTTCTCTCCGGGGAGGTGAAAGTAGTGCTGTGCAGCATCAGCTACAGAATGTGCAGCAGATCCAAGCCACTGCTGCCGCTTTTGCTGCCATCCTCGGAGATGGATCCGTCGTGACTTGGGGTGATGCCCTCCACGGTGGTGAAAGTGGTGCAGTGCAGGATCAGCTGAAGCATGTGCAGCACATCCAAGCTTCTTGCACTGCATTCGCTGCCATTCTTGACGAGGGGTCGGTGGTGACGTGGGGTTTTGCTGCTCGTGGTGGGGATGGCAGTGCTGTGCAGGAGCAGTTAAAGAACGTGCAGCAGGTCCAAGCCACCGGAAACGGCGCGTTTGCCGCCATTCTGGGTGACGGATCCGTCGTGACATGGGGTCATGCTTTCGCTGGTGGCGACAGTAGTGCTGTGCAAGAACTGCTACGGCCGCGGCAGGCGTAGCGGATCTTGTCCTGCCGGGTAGTCTTTCAGAGGTTAGCCTCTGACTCTCTGGCCAGTGCATATTTCGGTACAGCACCATATGAGCACGAGCAGCTGCAAAGACACGGCATCGCATCGTTAATGCGGAAATAGCCACACCTGTCCACCTGTGAGCCGGTGCAATCCCGAAGAATTTTGCTTGCGCTTTGTGACAGGCGTATGTCCTCTGATCAATATGTCAATATGGTTCAGACACTGTTTCAGCTGACTTCTTGCTCAAGTTGCCAACAGCATCGCAAATCACGGTATATGTGTTTTGTGCACAGTAGACGAAGAAGGCCCTTGTAACACCTCTCTGACTCTCACTAAGGCCTACTACAAACACTCACTGTCTAGAGCTTCCCGCGGTCCAGAAGTCCTGTAGGTCACGGCCTGGGCTCCTCAAACTGAACACTCCTCGAAGTACACAGGGGCTTAGACTTATGGGTTTAGCGTTTATGTGTGGTTCAGGGGTGCGGGGTGTAGGGTTATGTTTGGTCTATGTCTGTTGCTATGGTCCCTTGATTGCAAGCGATCCGTAGATGAATAGCCTCCTCTCACGTACCTAGGACTATAGAATACGAATCCGAATATATTACATAGGCCTCCAAGCCGAAAGCGCAGAATGGCACCGCGATGCCCGGCGATTCTGCATCCACATCGATATCCGCCCTGTATTACTAGACTTTGTTTAAAATTCATGGGTTCTTGCCTTCTGTCAGTACCCATAGGCTCCATAGTAGTTCCTTTTGTAGCTTCATATTTGGAACCCTTTAAGGTAATCCCAAAAGGAAGTACTATGGAGCCTATGGGTATGCTCAGGGTTCTAAACTGCGCAGGTCGATGAGCAAGGCAGCTGTCGGCTTCGGCTACATGAATGCTGTCATTCTACTATTTGGCATGAGGGTTTGGGGTTTAGTTTAGGGCACTTATAAGCCCTTAAATAACCCTAGACCATTTGGGTGCTTGTCAAAATTATGGTCCCTTTTGGGAGTATATTAGGTGCCGATTTATGCTAAGGACCAAAAAGGGGACCTTGATTTTGACAACCACCCATCTGGGTGATTGAAGTCAACGGCCAGCTCGAGTGTCTTCTTTCAGCTGGTTCAAGGCTGCAGAGATCAGACCTTGCTGTTGTTCGATCGGGTGCGACTTACGGTGTTTCGATGGTAGTATAGTAGTATAAGGAACATCGCATGCGTTTGCCGGAGATTTTGCACGGTTTGTTGCGTGTGTTTTTAGTGCGGATTAGCAGGCATTATGTTGTGAAGGGCTTCACCATGGCCTTAGTAATTAGACCAGGGTTGGGTTTGCAATAGACAGCAGACGTTTGGGGGGCGCAAGGCACTCTGTGTGTGTGTGTGTGTGTTGTACATCCTTGGTATCATACTCATAAGAAGGATCTCAACAAGTCGAAGGCCCAAAACGGACACCTTCCAACTTGCAGTGGGCTTTCGAAGTTGATAGTTTCATCTTCCTTACGCAACATGTCAGTTTCTGTGGAGGTTAAACTGCTCAGCGGCAAGACAGCCACTGTAACAGCAGGCTTGGATGAAGATGTAGAAGCATTAAAGCGTCGGGCGCAGACAGCACTTGGAGTTGGAAGAGGGCGGCTGGTGAATCCAGCCGGTAGCATTGTGGATGCCTTTGCGACGATCAAGGAATCTAACCTGCATAACGGTGATTCCCTGACCCTGCACATAAATCGAGTCGAAGTTGTGGGCTCTGCCACTGCTTTTGCTGCCATCCTTGGCGATAGATCGGTCTCGACTTGCGGCCGTGGCTATGGTGGTGACAGTCGTGCTGTGCAGCATCAGTTGCAGAATGTGCGGGAGGTCCAAGCCTCTCGACAGGGTGCTTTTGCTGCCATTCTGGGTGATGGCTCCGTCGTGACATGGGGCCACTCTCTGTTTGGTGGTAACAGCAGTTCTGTGCAGGAGAAGCTGAAAAGTGTACAGAAGATCCAATGCGGTTCTGGTGCTTTTGCCGCCATTCTGGGTGATGGTTCCGTCGTGACATGGGGCCACCCGAAGTTTGGTGGTGACAGTGGTGCTGTGCGGGATCAGCTGAAAGATGTGCAGCAGATCCAAGCCTGTCGCAGTGCTTTTGCTGCCATTCTTGGCGATGGTTCTGTTGTGACCTGGGGTAAGGCTGAACATGGTGGAGACAGCAGTGCTGTGCACGATCAATTGAAAAACGTGCAGCAGATCCAAGCCACTTGCAGCGCTTTTGCTGCCATTCTCGGCGATGGTACCGTCGTCACTTGGGGTGATGCTGCTTGTGGTGGTAACAGCAGTTCTGTGCAGGATCGGCTGAAGTCTGTGCAGCACATCCAAGCCAATTACCCCGCGTTTGCTGCCATTCTTGACGATGGATCCGTCGTGACGTGGGGGATGGCTGCCCAGGGTGGTGACAGTAGTGCCGTGAAGGGTCAGCTGAAGAACGTGCAGATAATCCAAGCCAGTTGCACCGCATTTGCTGCCATCCTGGCAGATGGATCTGTCGTAACCTGGGGTGGTTCTGTGCAGGGCGGTGTCAGTAGTGCTGTGCAGCCTCAGCTGCGGAATGTGCAGCAGATCCAAGCCACTGCTGCCGCTTTTGCCGCCATCCTGGGAGATGGATCCGTGGTGACATGGGGTCATCCTCAGTTTGGTGGTGAAAGTAGTGCTGTGCAGGATCAGCTTAAGCATGTGCAGCACATCCAAGCTTCTTGCAGTGCATTCGCTGCCATCCTTGACGAGGGGTCAGTCGTGACGTGGGGTGATGCTGCTCGTGGTGGTGACAGCAGTGCTGTGCAGGAGCAGCTCAAGTACGTGCAGCAGGTCCAAGCCTCCAGAACCGACGCATTTGCCGCCATTCTGGGCGACGGATCCGTCGTAACATGGGGTGTTGGTATGTGATAGTTTCGCTGGCGGCGACAGTAGTGTTGTGCAAGAAACGCTCAGGCAGGTGTAGCGGATCTTGTCCTGTCTGGTAGTCTGTCAGAGGTTAGCCTCTGACTCTCTTGCCAGTGCATATTTCAGTACAGCACAATCTGAGCAGATGAGCACGAGCAGCTGCAAAGACACGGCGTCGCATCGTAAGTTGAAGCAGAGGTGGCAGCACTTCTGCACCTTAAACCTTAAACCCTAAACCCTACTAAACCCTAGACCCACCGTAAGGACCCCAGAGACTCCAATATCCATTAAGTAAGGAATAAACCTTAAATCCTCATGGGAATCCTACTATAATTTAAGGAACATTCCTAAATTAAGGGATAATGGAGTCTCTGGGACCCCAGCAGCACCAAAGATCTGCGTCCAACCGCAGGTTGGAGGCAGCGCTGGGATTTTACCACCTCTCCGGAGGAGCTCCGTCTGAGCTGTTAGGGTCTTCTTGGAGGGGCAGGGGACTTTAGTAAGTCGTTTAGAAGTAGGGTTATAATTGTGGAAACTCTATTTAGGGTTCTTATAAGTATACTTATAGCCTACTTACTAGACTAAGTCCCCTGCCCCTCCAAGTTGAATTTAGGGGTTTAGGGTTCCGTTAAAGGGGTCTAGAAGGGTTCCTAAAAAGGGATCGAGAATTAGGGTTTAGGCAGGCGGGCATGTACACGTCTGTGCAAAAAAGGGGTTTAGGGTTTTTGGGGTTTTGAGTTTAAGGGTTTAGGGGGTTTTATGGGGTTTAGGGTTTGGGGTTTTGAATTTAGGTGTTTTGGGGGTTTAGGGTTTTTGAGGGTGTAGTGGTTTGAATTTAGGGGTTTAGGGGGTTTAGGGTGTAGGAGGTTTGAGGTTTGGGGGTTTAGGGTGTAGGAGGTTTGAGGTTTGGGGTTTTTGAATATAGGGGTTTAGGGGGTTTAGGGTTTAGGCTGTGATGTCTGATGTGATGTCTAAGTGTCTTTCTAGGGTTTTTTTCTGACATTATGTCTGTGTGGAATAGCAGGCCCCCATGACTTTGTTCTGACTAATTTGTTTGGGAGGTTGCACGTCACGTGTCTTCAGCTGCATGGGCTCTATCATCGCTGTGTGGCAGCATGGGACAATTCGGGTAGCAAGCCGGGAAAACGCCTAAACCCTCCGAAGGGAATCCTCGGATAAATTGGAACGGTACAGAGAAGATTAGCATGGCCCATGCACAAGGATGATATGCACAAATCGAGAAGTGTACCAAGTGTCAAAACCCCTGAGACCTGTGCACATGGCCCCGAGAAGATGACAGATGCCCGAAGCCTCTCGATCGATAAACCACGAATCACCCCTTACAGTGCTATAGGGGCCTAAATAATTGGTCCGTTACTTTAAAGGGTTCCGTAAAGGGGTCTATAAGGGATCTATAGGGTTTAGGGCTTAGGATAGGGGCCCAAACAATTTCCTAATTCTATTTCGGGGGGTTCCTCGCTATGATTATGCGTAGAAAAAATACCCAAAAACCCATTCAAATTAGTAAGGCCCCTCTGCTAAATCCTTGTATTTGCCCTAGACCCCTTTAAAGGGAATCTTATTCTAATTAAGGCCCCTTATAGCAGGTCCTCAACCCTAGGTTACGACATGCTAGCCCAGCATGGTGAAGGAGAAGCGTATCGTGCTGCAAGAGCCCGCGCAGCTGCGAGCACGCCACTAGCTGTGGAATGGAGCACACGGTTTAGGGTTTAGGGTCAACAGTCCGTCGTAGGGATCCTTGCGTGTATCTCGCCCGGATCGTCCGCAGTGACTGCTAGCATAACCCTCAAAACCCCTAATGTAGGAACCTGATTAAGAAACCCTGGGCCTATAACCCCCCGCCAAAGTAGGATTCATACAAGGAACCCTAATAATGGCCCAAGCTTTCTTAATCAGGTTTCTACATTAAACCCTCCACCTTGCACCACTCGGTTTCGGACGCGGGGCTTTGAGTTTAAACGTTTGCAGGCTGAGGATTTCACGGCAAACGATGGGCCTGTGCCTGCACATGTACATATACCCCAAGCCCTAACTAAACCCTAGACCGTGAACTATACCCTGCACCATACCCTGAGCCCTGAAGCCTAAGCTCTAAATTCTAAACTTTACCCTAAACCCTAAACTGTATAACCCATTCCCCCGTTCCCTACTAAGAACCAGACAGTAAAGCCTAAGGCGCTGATTTGGAACCCAAATTTTCGAACAGGGTTGGGAAACTACTTGGCGTTCTTCTGGTTGGCTCTTAGGCCTTCAACTTTGTGGGTCTTTATATAAACTATAGTAAGGAGGCTAAAGGTTTAACTTTTAGGAGGGGTTCAGAAGTCAGCCAAGTCTAGCTTCGGCCTTTGCTTAGGGGTTCCTCGATGGGCTTACAGGTCTGTAGGGGTTCTACAAAGGTACCCGTGGGTAGAAGGGGCCATGTACCTGTATAGTATCATAACACTTCTATGAGGGTACCACGTACCCATGTAGAACACAGCATGGCCCTAGCCTAAAACACTTTTTCAGGAGTAGGAGTATTCTTACCATTGTAGACACTCTACACATACCATGAAGCTGCTTTCCGCGTGATGAAATCCGGATTAAAGATCTCCTAAAGCCTCAACATGGGAGTTCCGAAAATTAGGGCTACCGTCTTTTTGGGGTGCTTATAATAAGGATCCGACTATTCAGGGTACCATATTAGGGTCCCCTATTTTGCAACTCCCACATTATTAGCCCCGAATCCGAACCCCAAGCTCCCTTTATTTGCCCCTTCTTGCCCTAAACCCTAAACCGCCAGAGCCCCTTACTTGCAAAAGCTTCGAAGCCTTTTAGATTGAAGCCCCAAGCCCTAAACCCCGCAAACAGAGCCCTAAAGCCACACACCAAGAGGCCTTAGACACTCTCTAAATGACGTATATACCCATTTTCAAAACTCTTGAACCTCAACAGCGCCAGGCACACCGCTAAACCGTAAGTCTGAAACCCTACACCGGACTGCGAGGCCCCAGAGCTTGAGTCAAAAGTCGAACCTACGGTTGATGATATAAATCCTGCATGACCCACTATAAGGAATATACCATAATTCCCATAGTTTAGGGTCCTTAAGGTAGTGCAGCATTTATATCATAAGCCGTAGTTTGCCTCAGGCACTGTAGGGGCCTGATAATTAGAAAGAGGTTCCTATTCAAAGGGTTCTTAAAAGCTTATAGAACTACTACAAGCGGGACTCTCGCGGCTGAACGGGCCTAATTATCAGAATAGGGATTAGGCGTGCAGTATAACAGAGTTGTAATCGGGAAGCCCAAAGTAGTGGTAAGTATACAGCCCTCAACTCTAAACCCCTAAACCAGAAACCCTAAACCCCTAAACCCGAAACCCTCAAACCCCTAAACCCTAAACCCCTAAACCCAACTACACAAAACCCTCAAACACCAGAGGCCCGGCAACAGCCAAACCCCAAAGCCTAAACAGCTCAAAGCTGCAACAGCCATCTAGGGTTTAGGGTCTAGGGTTTAGGGTTTGGGGGTTTAGGGGTTCAGGGTTAGGGTTTAGGTTTTAGGGTTAAAAAAAAGAGGGGGTTTAGGGGTTTAGCAAAAAGGGTTTAGGTTTCCCTGCGGTGCGACTCTGTCAGCTGAGCGGGTGGGAAAATAACCTGTAAAAAACCGCATACCCGACAAGCCCTGGACTTTAACAACATGCCAATTTTCGAGACCCATAAAGGCCGTAAAGGACCAAAATGACCCGGATAGTACCCTTACCAGGAATCTTTCAAGGAACCCTTCAACAAACCCTAATCCCTAAACAAACCCTTTCCGAAATCTTCAAGGAACCCTTAAGGCAACCCTGAACTCACAAACACTTTTTGAAAGCCCTTTCAAGGAATCGTTAAAGAAACCCTAAACCCTAAACAAGCCTTTTTTCGAAGCTTAACCCTATACACCCTAAACCCTACACCTTAAACCCTAAACCCTAAACCCTACTCCGAAACCCTAAGCCGTAAACCGAAGCCCTAAACCCTAGACCCTAACCCTAAACCCGAAACCCTAAACCGAAACCCTCAACCCTAAACCGGCTAAGGAGGCCGGAGGCTCAGCAGCAGACCGTCGCCAAAGTGCGAGGCCCTCAGCTTTGGACCCAGAGCCTCCAGCAGGGCTTTAGGGGTTCAGGGTTTAGGGGTTTAGGGTTCCTTTAAAAGGGGTCTATAAGGCCTCCTAAACAGGGATCTATAGGGTTAGGGTTTAGGGAGGGGGGTTAGGGTTATGGGTGCAGGGTTTAGGGCTTAGGGGTTTAGGGTTATGGGTTCAGGGTTTAGGGTATATATGAGTCTATATGGCTCAGAGGTTAGGGGCTTACAGGTTATGGTTTCCGGTCCTGGCGTGACCTTGCAAGTTAGGGGCACCCAAGCTAGGAATGCCCACTATTACCCTTATTATTTTATTATTCCCTTGTTGTAGTCCTAGGTTCCTTAAAAAGCTGTGGAAACGCTTTGTGTGTCTCAGCTAAGCGGAGGCGCAGAGGTGGAGGCGAAAAACGCGAAAACGCGAAAAACGCGAAAAGCGCGAAAAACGCGAAAACGCGAAAAACGCGAAAAACGCGAAAAACACGAAAAAAACGAAAAACGCGAAAAACACGAAAAACACTAAAAAACGCGAAAAATCCGATGATAGTAGTAGTAGAAGTAGTAGTAGTAGTAGTAGTAGTAGTAGTAGTAGTAGTAGTAGTAGTGGTGGTAGTAGTAGAAGTAATAGTAGTAGTAGTAGTAGTAGTAGTAGTAGTAGAAGTAGTAGTAGTAGTAGTAGTAGTGGTAGTAGTAGAAGAAGTAATAGTAGTAGTAGTAGTAGTAGTAGTAGTAGTAGTAGTAGAAGTAGTAGTAGTAGTAGTAGTAGTAGCAGTAATAGTAGTAGTAGCGGTAGTAGTAGTAGCAGTAGTAGTAGTAGTGGTAGTAGCAGTAGTAGTGGTAATAGTAGTAATGTAGTAGTAGTAGGAGTAGTAGTAGTAGTCGTAGTCGTAGTAGTAGTAGTAGCAGTAGTAGTAGTGGTAGTAGCAGTAGTAGTGGTAATAGTAGTAGTGTAGCAGTAGTAGTAGTAGTAGTAGTAGTCGTAGTAGTCGTAGTAGTAGTAGTAGTAGTAGTAGTAGTAGTAGTAGTCGTAATGGTAATAGTAATAGTACTAGTACTAGTACTAGTAATAGTAATAGTAATAGTAATAGTAATAGTAATAATACAGAACGGGGGACCCTGGGAGTGCGCATCTGCCGTGATTTACGCGCGAGTCTTTTTAATTTTAAATATCGTAATTGGATACTAATAGAAGTTTTATCTTTAATCTCATGTTCGTTATTACGATACTGGTTCGTTATTGTCGATTTTCATAATCTTGATTATATGTGATCTTATTGTATATCAATCTCTATATGAAGTCAATTACTTGGAAGACCTAGGCTTTCCTAAATGGGTGCATATCTATATATTGTATTGGCCAACAACTTTATAAGCTTAAAGAACGTATTATGCTTGTATGTTAAATTATATTTCGTTCTTGTTAGAGGATTTGTTCATTGATTTATATGTTTAACTTGTCCACATATCAATATGCTTTCTATATTTCGATTATTCTTCTGAATATGACTATAAATAAAATATGATAAATACATGTATGTGCCACTTTACTACGCATTTGTTGCTGGTAATCCAATATGCTTTCTATATTCCGATTATTCTTCTGAATATGACTATAATTAAAATATGATAAATACATTTATGTGCCACTTTACAACGCAATTGTTGCTGGTAATCTATAGAATATCGGTTTGGAGTGTGTTGAAAAGTTTCGTATATCTAGTGCTATTGTTGTCTATATTTGGATTGAATATTCGGTTATTATCTTAAAATGTATCGATAAGAGTATTAATGCAAAAGGCATGGTTGGTGATAATAATAGGAATATAATCAAATAAAATATCACTTATAGATCAGAAGTTTGTACTACATCTAGAAGCATGCTCCACACACTGATATGTGTATGTAACTATGTATGAATAGTGAGAAGTCGACATTTGTCGATTAATGTAAGGCACGTTATAATATATATATATATATTTATATTTATATTTATATTTATACATATGCCGAGCTCTCTATTATGCACAATGTCACACATACATATGAGGGTATATATACATATATATATATATATCCGTATTTGTATATGGATATATATATATATATATACATATGTATATACACTTATCCGTATATCTTTATTCTGCATATATATCTATGCGCATGATAGCCTCATCGAATGTAAGTGCGCCATCCCGCCCTCCAAGTTCACGAAGCGAACCTGGTATATGATCACCACGAAACTCCGACATGGCTTCAGAGATACGAAACGAGAACACCAAGAAAGACTGTTTGAGCTTTCGTGGCAACGATATAACAGCTTGCGAACGAGAAAGGAAGAATGTCGGTTGTGTACTCATACGTTGGTACACATGTGTGTAAACAAAGTTGAATGAATGCTTGTTTAAGTATGTGTGCGTGTGCCTGTATCCTATTCTCGCAGGTTGTTCAATAGGTGGCTCGACCATGCGATACATAAATTTTGTGGAAAAAGGTGCACTCCCACAGCCCCCCGGGTAATAGTAATAGTAATAGTAATAGTAATAGTAATAGTAATAGTAATAGTAATAGTAATAGTAATAGTAAGTAGTAGTAATAGTAATAGTAATAGTAATAGTAATAGTAATAGTAATAGTAATAGTAATAGTAATAGTAATAGTAATAGTAATAGTAATAGTAATAGTAATAGTAATAGTAATAGTAATAGTAATAGTAATAGTAATAGTAATAGTAATAGTAATAGTAATAGTAATAGTAATAGTAATAGTAATAGTAATAGTAATAGTAATAGTAATAGTAATAGTAATAATACTAATAGTAATAGTAATAGTAATAGTAATAGTAATAGTAATAGTAATAGTAATAGTAATAGTAATAGTAATAGTATAGTAATAGTAATAGTAATAGTAATAGTAATAGTAATAGTAATAGTAATAGTAATAGTAATAGTAATAGTAATAGTAATAGTAATAGTAATAGTAATAGTAATAGTAATAGTAATAGTAATAGTAATAGTAATAGTAATAGTAATAGTAATAGTAATAGTAATAGTAATAGTAATAGTAATAGTAATAGTAATAGTAATAGTAGTAGTAATATAACAGTAACAGTAAAAGTATTTTGTGCGAAGCACGCTAATGAAACGCGCATACGCGAAAAAGGCGAAAAACACGAAAAGTCGAAAAACACGAAAAACGCAAAAACCACGAAAAACGCGAAAAACGCGAAAAACACGAAAAACGCGAAAAACACAAAAAAACGCAAAAAACACGAAAAACGCGAAAAGTAATAGCAGTGGTCATAATAATAGTAACGAGCAATAGTAATAATAATAATAATAGTAATAATATAATCTTAATAGTAGTAGGAAGTAGTAATAGTTGTTTAGTGTTTTTTGCGTTTTTTCGTGTTTTTTTTTGCGTTTTTCGTGTTTTTTGCGTTTTTCGTGTTTTTCGACTTTTCGTGTTTTTCGACTTTTTGCACGCTGAGCGCCGACTCCGCTTGTACACGACGCGCAAAATGCTCGCTTAGTTAAAAAGTTACCCATTACCAAAAAGGGAGCCCTTTTTATTCCTAGGTTACTGGGCATCCTAGCAAGGGGAAGATAACCTCGATGTGCTCTTCCCGGCTTGAGCGGCAGCTCCTGGCGCAACCGTTTAGGGGTTAAGGTTTACGGTTTAGCGTCCAGGGGTTTAGGGATTTAGGATTTAGGGATTTAGGGGTTAGGGTCTAGGGGTTTAGGGTTTGGAGTTTAGCGTCTAGGGTTTAGGGGCTTAGGGTTTGCGGGTTTTGGGGTTTCGGGTTTTCGGGTTTAGGGTTTAAGGGGTGTCTCCTTGCGCAGTGGCTGGTAACCCATGCTATAGGATGGCGCCACCTCGCACCAGGGTTTGCGTCATAGAACTCTGTGAAACCGGAGGTTCTCTTAAACCCACCCGCTGTGATGTTATACGCGCAAAATCCCAAACCATTTCCTGTTAGGGTTTAGGGCTTACACCCTCAATTCCCACACCGAGCTCTCAATCATAAACCCTGGACCCGAGCCTAGGCCCACATCGTCTGAGAGCTTAATTTGCTTGAAGTTCTGACCACAGCCTAAAACCGAAGGTTCCACTGCCAGTCTAGATGGTGCAAGGTGATTGAGATCAACACCAGCAGTAACTTTGCCAACAAGCCCGAAAAAACGCGAGTTAGCAACAGCAAAGGAAGAAATTCCCGATTACTCGGCCAAGATCCCACCTCGGTGTCAATCTGAACATGACAGGTGCTAACTCTTTAGGCACATTTGACACCAGTGGTCTCATGCGGAAAACAGGCTGGATTGTTGAGCCCGATAAGTTCTCCATTGGACTTATTTTCCCTGCGTTGAACTCGTTGTTTTCAGGATTATTTGGCAAGTTCAACGCTTGTAATGAACTGAACTCGTTGCATCGGGGTTAGGCCCAAGAAGTCTAACAGCGGTGTTGAACTTCACCCGACTCGTCGAGATTATGTATCCTGTGATTAACTTGTCGTTTTCTGTTGTTGTTGGCTGAAATCATCGCTTTCCTCATCCAGACTGGCTGGCAGTATTCGATGTGTCCAAACTGAGGTCGTTTACTTGGATGGTCATGGGACTTAGTAAGTAAGCTGTCCGGAGTTACAGGGATTCTATGAAGTTCTAAAATCTTTAGAGGGTCTAAGAGACCTAGCAAGTAAGGTTATGACTACCTTGATGGGGCGTTTTAAACCATTGTAAGTATGGTTAACTTGCCTCTAGCTACTAAGTCCCAAGATCCTGTAAGTGACGACCTAAACCTTGGCTCAGGTTTCAGGTGTATGATTTAGAGCCTATGAGGGCCTCCCCGGTTCGGGGTTCAGGGTGTTACTTAGGGGTTCATGGGCTTGAGGGTTTAGGGTTCGAGGTTTAGGGTTTTAGGTAAATAAGCTTATAAACAAGGTAACCTTTACTCACACTTACTTAGAACCCTTTATAGCTGTGCTCATGAAGGCCGGAGGCTAAGCCCACGAGGACTTGATCCCTGCGCCAAGATGATTTAGATTTCGGGCTGCAGGGGTTCAGAATGAACAGCGGAAGCTCGGATCCGTTTTCTGGAACGCACGTCCAGGTATGATGCATGGGGTCTGTGGGAATCCACGGATGACTTCGCTACAGCCGCTCTGTGACAAGCACTGTCCACCTGGCACTGTCGTGAGTCACGCACACACACACACACACACACACAGGCGGAGGTCAACCAGTCAGAAGGGCTGTGCCTATGAACAGGATGCCATACAGTATACCTGCAAATATGCAAAGATCGCGACAACGACAACACCAAGCCCCACCTCTACGACCACCAACAAGAATCACAACCGCCACTGAAACGAAAACGGCATTGTTGTCGTTCTGAATTTCGAAGTCTTGCTGCGGGCATCCCTCCATACGATAACGACATTGCACATGTACATTATTGCTTTCTATCGAAACCATTCAGGATGTTATAAGATGGAGCCCACTTGCCACCCCCAGGTTCGCCGCCTTAGCGCTGGCGGCGGCGCGACTGAAGCCGGCTCCGGTCGCAGCCCCAAGGAGAGAGCTGGGGTGTCCAGCATGCAGGGCTACCTTTCGTTCATCGGTAGTTTAAGGGTTTAGGGGTTTAGGGTTTAATAAGGGGTTTTTGCTGCGGTGCTCTGGAGGGCTGTAAGTACAGGCTCAGCATTGAAGGTTCCTTGAGAATAGATTGAATCCGCAACCCACAGCTCAGGCCTCGACACAGGAGGTCTGCGAGTCGGACGTTTCTAAGACAAGCACCGTCCCTGCTGGGCTCCGAGGTTACATCGTACGATTATAGTTACCTAGTAATCTTGATGTAATTCTAGTTCAAGCAGCAGCCAAGCCCTCGAGCCTGTTTGCAAAGGTCTCCTTTGACGGCTTTCTTCCCAAGGATCACTTCTGAGCAGCTGGGGGCCACTTCAAGGTTTACAGCGTTTTAGGGTATAGGGTTCGGGCATTGGGGTAGGCCAGGAATGACTCGGAGGCATACACTGAAGACGGCAGTCAACAGAAATTCTGTTATTACGAAGGCATACTGTACGTTAGGGTGGAAGGTGCAGCCCTCACAGCAGGGCATTCGGCAAGGAAGAATACAGTCGTAATGCATACAGTGGTAGCTAGAGGCATTGTTCAAGAGTCATCGCGAACACATCAAGCACCTCAGGGCTAGTCTGTCTCGTTTCCTAGACTATGCGATCAATCGAAGCACGCAGCGCCCGTTGATCATCGCCGCCACCGCCACCGCCACAGTCGTTACCTCTGCCAGTACCGGTAACACTACCACTGCCACGAACGTGACCTCTGCCATTGCCAAAGCAATATACCGCTTACCAATCAGGGTGAGAATTAACATTACCTTTGCCATTACCATGTTCATACCAGTGCAATCTGATTCCTTCCCTTTATCATACCCACCAACGTTTACCATCACCACCACGAGCACGCACCATTACCCGACCCATTTCCTTTACCAGGACAATTCCCAGTACCTTTCACATGTCTATTGCCGTTGTACATATGAATGCCCTCACCATTTCCATTACCTTTAACAGCTTCACCTCTACCGTTGCCATGACCATTACCGTTGCCATCAGTATTGCCGTTGCTGTCGGCAGCAGTCACCAGACACACGGTTCTTAGTTATCGTGTTGTTGTTGCCATCATGGCAGTTGTGCCTGGTATTGCTTCGCTGCTATTGCTGCTCTCAGGGCTCCAACTCTGATTCATTGGCCACGTAAAGTCAAGTAAACCCTTTCCTTACAAACCCAAAGAACCCTAAGTGAGCAAGTAGGGCGTTGCAGGACTTGCACGATTTCGAAGAGAAGGCGTGCCGGGGGGGGAGGAGGAGTGATCTGATTGGTTCCGTGTGAGGGTGGGTTCAGGCTTTGGGGCTTTGGGGCTCACAGGTTTTAATGTCTCTTTGAAAAAAGTTTTAATGTTTTGGGTTTCGGGTTTCAGGTATAGGGTCGTTACGGGTCCTAAACATGATTTTGCTTTGAGCGACCGTTTGAAGATTGGGTTATCGCCGGAGAGAGTTGTCCCGCATCGTCAACCAGGGGCTAAGCAGTCATTAAGCCTAAAATCCTAAACATGGATGTTGCAGACGGAAAAAGGAGCTTTAACAAAACAAGAAACAACGATACCTTAAAACCATAAAACCCCTAAGCCATGCCTGCCTGTGTGCGAGTGTGCGAGTCGAAACCCCTAAACCCTAAACCGTAAAACCTTAAGCCCTAAAACCCTAAACCCTAGAGCGCTCACTAGGATCCCGAGGCCTTAAGAGCATATGCCAGTGCCGACCCCGGATGGTGAAAGAGCAACCAATATAGGGGCCTTCATAATTGCCTATACTATTTTGGGGGGTTCCTTATTATAAGTATAGTGTAATGGGCCCCAAAACCTTCTTCTAAATATTAAGGCCCTTATACTAGCAGTCCAGGGCCCGCATATATACTCACGAATGTTCAGAGTTTCGGTTCAGGGTTCAAGGGCTTAGGGTTCATGGTGTACGGGTTTCGGGTTTGGGGATAGCGTCATAACACCAGATTACCATGATACACGGCGCTGCGTCCTCGGCAGGCGGAAAGGCGCGGACTTTGGTGGGAGATACTGTGTGAAAGAACTTCCAGCGATGTCAATGACAACATGAGCTTGGGACGGTTGTGGGTTGGGAGAGTCCGTGACCAAAATGTGGCTGATAAGATCACCAGTGCGCAGCACATTCGGCATTGGCTGCGAAGTGTGCCGCAGCTATGCCAAGTACCTCGGAGGACCCGAGAAGGTGGCTCTGAAGCACAGGCCACAGTTTAGGGTTTGGGGTTTAGGGTCTAGGGTGCTTTGTGCCCTGGCCTCCGGACAAAGGCGGGTAGTCGTTTGTCTTTGTGAAACTCCTCTTCCTTGAGGCCAGGCGGGAGGCCTGCAGCAACAGTTGCCCAAAAGGACTCAACCCTTATAGTTATGTGTTCGAGCTTCTAAACCCTAAACCCCTAAACCCTAAACCCTTAGAACCACAAGCCCAACCCACCTACCACGCGCAGGTGGGCCAAATTGGGCTGATCGTGAAGCTGCAGTGCTCCTCAGAGGTGGGGGGTTTGGGGTGAGAGTTTTGAGTTTAGGCAAGGTTAGGCTTTAGGGCAGAGGGGTTTTGAATATTTGGGGTTCGGGTTTAAAAGTTTCCGTTTTGGGCTTGAGGGTGCCGGGATTTAGGATTCAGGGCTGTGAATTTTACAGTTTAGGGCTGCAGGGCTATAGGGCTCGAATGTAAGTGGGTGTGGGGTTTGGGCTTTTGGGGTTTGGTGCGGGGCTTATAGGGTTTAGGGTGTAGGCTTTGGGCTTTAGCCATGTTGAGGGTTCTGGGGTTTAAGGTTTCGGGCTCTTGGATTTAGCCATCGTTGAAAGGGATATGCCCATTTAATAAGTGAGACATCCAGACCACGGTGAGAGGTAAATACCTGTAACCCCAAACCCTAAATCGTAAATGCTGACCCCTATAAACCCTGCTCCGTAAACCCTAAACTCCTGAACTTCCGAATGTGAGGGTACGCCTTTTGCGATGATAGCCGCAGGTAGGCTGACCCTATATTCCCTTCCACCTAATACAAAAGGGGTCCCCCCTACACAACAAGGGGGGTTGGGCATCCGGGTATGGATCGGCTTGACAGAAGCACCGAGCCAGGCAACCAGACAAGGAAATACTGCGGTAGGACGAAAGTTTGACCTACTCCTTGTTTCGTCGAACACAGGCGCCCATTCCCCCATAGAATCCTAACAAGCAGGACCAACAGGCTACTCCTCCGGAACATTAATGTAGTATGATATTAAAACGGGGTATAAAATACTCCGCTGGCCAGGCCACGTAAATCCCACTTTTCTGTACTCCGCACGACGTCTTAAGACAAGACAGATCCAGTAGGTCAAAACTTTTGTCCTCCCGATGTAATTAGGGACACAACCAAGCCTTGGTCCTTTCGGTTTAATTAATACTACTGTAGTTTAGGCCCTATGAAAACTGATGCAATCCTAGCTCTTTTTGATGTTTGTAATTAGCTCTCAATTGCAGACCCGAAACCGTCAAATTCCGCGGGCCGGAGGTTTTTTGTATTAGGGGGGGCTCGAATATTAGAGGGACGGATTAAGCCCAAAGCCCTGCTAAAAGCTTCATGGGACGTATTAACTTAAAGGCTATACATGAGGTAACTATACGTATGACTAGTTATAACCCAGCTAAGGTACTTATAACTTGTAACTGTACTTTCTAAGTCCCCTGAACTTCTAAGTACCCCTCTAGTATCCTTATAGAAACCCTTTAAATCCCTATAGATCCCTTCAAGGAGCATGTTAAAGCCAATGAGTCCCATGAAAACCCAACTCGGCCCGAGGTTTATTGACCAGCGGACTCCAAAGCCCCCTCCATGAAGGAATATGAGCTTTAAAATTAGTATAGAGGTATCCTTGTTCTCATGCAAGGTATGCTCCTTCCTTATGGAGTATGCCTTATAGACTTCAGAGGGATACTAGCTGAAATTTAAATTGAAGTATACGCCCTGATCACAGGATTTGGGAGTTTCTCAAGAGCTTCGGAAGAGTGTGTCCTTTTTTGTGAAGGGTGGGGGTAGGGAATAAGTTTAGGGTTCAGGGTATCGGGCTTGGGGTGTTGTTCAAGTCCCGAAGGCCCTTCAGCTCAACATCCAGACATCTCCGAATCTTCGAACCCTCCGCCCACTGGTTGGGGTTGTCCGCTCAGAGTACATGTAGCAACCCTAAACTCTAAACCTCAACCCTGATTGCAAGGTACTCGTACGCGCTTCGTCCCTGCGAAGTAGGAGGGAAAGAACCAGTTACGCGCCCCGTCTTTGCGAAGTAGGAGGGAGAAACCTCACCCCTAAACTCTGATCCCTAAACTAAACCTTAGATCTTCAGGTGCTGCGGCAACGGATCGGAGACCGAGGATCTCGGCCACATGATGTACCTTGGGCAGGTGTTGGGTATCCCTACGTGTCCATGTACACTAGGGTTGCTTTAAGGGTTCGCTTAAGGGCTACTTTAGGGGTTACAAATAGAGTTCCAGAAGGGTTTAGGGTTTAAGGGTCAATGTACCCACATGGTATATACTTTGGCATTAAAGTAGTTACTATAAGTGCTTAGGAGCCAAAGTATATACTATTTGGGCACATGGACCCTTAGGGTATTCTAGCGGCCTCGCTGATCAGGCTAGGGTGCCTTTCTTTCACAGGTCCTGTACGTAAAGGTTCATGGGACTTCTTAACTAGGGTCATACGTCATAAATCAGGTACCTGTACTTATCTCGTAGTTTAAAACCAAAGGTAAGGTACTCACATCTGTACTTGCTAACTCCCCTGAACCTGCAGGTAGGGTCCCTTCACCTAGAAGGTTAGGCTTTCACTCACAGTACTTCATGGAGTTTTTGTGAGGCATTCACGAATTTAGGGTAGGATGGTCTTCATGGCGGCTTTTGTTTCTAGCGTAGGAATGCTAGCATCTGAGCTCTCAATACTACAGCCCGGGCCTTTTGCATGCAGAGTAGCTAATTGTGATTTTCTGCAAGCTATAATATGAGGTAATTTTATCGTGTATTTCTCGTTCAGCCGGAGGATTTTGCTCTGCCAGAGCTCAGCTTGGAGGAGAAGAAGATGTACGGTAACTTTTGGGCCAGGTACAAGTCAACCTCGTCCTTGAGCCTGGGCAGTGTGGAATCCGACAGGGATACCGAGGTTGCTTCTCCGACGACTCCTGCGCGATCCGTGCTTGCCGAGCCACCTCCTACTGTGGAGCAGGATGTTGCCGTGGCCAAGGGACCTCGGGCTCTGCCACCCAAAGGTCGAGCTGCCATCAGTGCCTGCTGTGCCAGCCCAGGCGGTGCAGGAGCCACCTCAGCAGCAGACCTGACCAAAATCTCCAACTGAAAAAACAGCCCCACAGAAGGGCCTTTTGGGACCCTTAGGTCCCGTTGACCTTGGAATTCCTAGTAGTAGAGTAGGTAACCTTTAACCTCTTTTGGGTAGTATAGTCCCTATAAATAATCTCTATATACCCAAGCAGGTTAACCTTTAGTCCCCATGATACCCGACAAGTAGGAATTCCTTTGGCTGAAGCTAAGGTGTCGATCGACGCTGACAAACGCCTTGCGCCAGGGGCCTGCTGAGAGGGCTTTTGGCTTGTACTGAAAGGCTCCATAGTAGTTCCTTTTTGGGTTACCATGTAACATCCTAAATATGAGCCGCCAAAAGGAACTACAATGGAGCCTCTGGGTAGGTGCTTCTTCAGCGTTTTTTTTGCACAGGGTTTGTAAGAATCCGATCTTCAGACAGAGGAGGTTTCAAAATAGTCATAATCGCATTTACTGAGGATGTTGTTTCCGAACTGCTGTGTGTGTTCCATGGGTTTGCGTGTTTGGTCTCGGGTACGTACGGGGATCACTGTAGAAGTTTAAATGATTACCAACATGATTCCGTAGGGTTCTTCTTTATATTTATACTACAAGAGAGCCCCAAAACCCTATTCTAACTATTATAAGACCCCTACATTAGCTGGTTCAGTTTCGTGAGGTTCCCAAGTTCTCATTCGGAGTACTGCATAGAGCCGTTAGTTCTCGGCAGGGTCGACGGCTTAAGCCTTAAGCCCTGAACCATAATCTAGGATGCCCACTAGTACCCTTATTTTTGTCGTCCTAGGTTCCTGATAAAGTTACCCAATACCAAGAAGGGAGCCCTTTTTATTCCTAGGTTACTGGGCATCCTAGCAATCGAATCTTGAAGCTCCAGGCCTCAAGACTTATAGTAAACCCCATAAAGTTGGAAACCGGACTAAGGCCAAATAGAGCTGGGATTCCCTATACATTACTCTTAAGGATTGCGGCTATTGGGTTTCCAACTTTTGGGCTTTTACTGTAGAGGTGGATCTAGGCATGCAGTTGCCGATAGACAACAAACGGGCTCCCTGAAGATCCGACCTTATAAGTACAGGATCCCTTGTAGGAGCCCTTAAAGGAAGCCTTTTTCGGGATTTAAAGGAGCCCCTAAGGTCCATTTCCTCAACCCCCAAACCTAAAGCCGAAACCCCTACTTGGAGGATCATGGGACTTAGTAAGTAAGGTTATAAGTACCTTAATCGGGGCTATAAGTAACTATAAGTATAGTTACCTTATTTATAACCCCATAGTTACTAAGTCCCATGAACCTCCAAGTAATCCCTAAATCCTAAGCCTTATAGATCCCTTTAAGGAACCCTATAGATCCCTTTATCCCTTGAAGGAGCCTTTAAAGCTACTAAGTCCCATGAACCTCCAAGTAAATCCTAAATGACCGCCCGGCAACTGTGGGAGCACGCCTGAAACCATCTGGGCAGTTCTCTGAAACAGTCCCTTGTAGGGTCACTCTTTTATGAGTGCCGCCTTCTTGCGGGCTCCTGAAACCCTGGGTATCGAAATAGCCCAAAAACCCTTACATAATATGGTCTTTGGGCCCAAAAGCCTTAATATATGAGTCCTCAGATCCCTAGGGAAACAGGACACTAATTTGAAGAACTATCCATCTTTCAGGACCCCCCCAAGGTACCGTAATATAGGAACCTGAATCAGAAAACTTGGGACCCTATTGGGGTTCTGTACATGAATCCCAATATTTATTGGGATTGTAGGACCAGGGTTCTTAATCAGGTTCCGGCATTGCTATACTATACCCCTTATAGTACCCTTATAGATCCCTTAAAGTAATCCTTGTAGGAAACGTTACAGGAACCCGAATAGAGCCGTCTTGAAGGCTCGCCGGTCCCTGCTTGGAGTTTCATGGGACTGAGGCGGCACAGTTATCTTTACCTTAACTGGAGTCAAAGATGCTTAGGGTTTAGGGATTCCTGTATCCCTTAATTAAGGAATAGAGTTTAAATCACAGTACGACCCCTACTATAGTTGAAGGTATGTTCCTCAATTACGGGACATTGGAGTCCCCTAAACCCTAAACCCTCTAAATCCCTGATAGATCCTTTAAAGGAGCCCTGGGTATCCCTTAATCACGGGATAATGGAGTCTCTGGGTATCAGGTCCTACGAACAGCGTTCTACGAGAGAGGATGCTTCACTCGCCGGCCTTGAGGATTCCGCGGGAATCCTGTGTGAGTGGCGACGCCGAATTTGCACTAGGCTTTAGGGTTGAGGGTTGTTTAGGGTTAACGGTCTACGGTTTAGTGAAAAGGGATCTAGGGACTCCTATGCATGTTAAGGCTTTTGAGCCCAAAGACCATCTTATATAAGGCTTTTGAGCTAATTATTTCGATCCCCAGGGGTTGAGGCGTGGTTTGATATGGGCTTTTCCGAAGATTAGGGGCACCTTATTTTGGGGTCCTTATAATCAGGATCCTACGACTTAGGGTACTAGATTAGGGTTACCTTTCTTCGGAAATTCCCATATGGGCGTGGAGGTGCACAGGGCTTAATATAGGGGCTTGAATAATTCCCGACAGTTTTTGCTTCTGGTTCTTCTTCTTGGATCCCAAGTGGAGAGCTTGAAAGCTTTTTTTCTAGATGCCCCCTGGTGGCTCAAGTTCCAACATGTTTGCATGAGAAGCAGCTCCCCAAGAAAGTCATGTAAGAATAAAAACTAAGGCCCAAGTAAGACAAGCCCCCCCTCAAAGCCCCCGAGCTGCCCGATGGTTTCGGAAGGTGCGCCCCCGCAAGTTTGCTAAAGGGGTTGGTTTTGGGTAAGTTAGGGTATTTTAATTCTGCCAGGTCAGACATGGTCCGTGATCTTTGTCGCCATTCCCATCCAGGCATCGTCAGGAGCTGAGTAAGACACCCTAACCTTAAGCCCTAAAGCCCTAAACCCCTAAACCCCTAAACCCTAAACCCCTCGTTTGCGTCGTTTTGCAGCTCGGTGAGCCATGGCCCCAACTTGCTGGGTGAGCCATGGCCCGAGCCTGCCGAGTGAGCCATTGGCCCCAGCTTTGCTGGGCGTGCCATTGGCCTCGGTTCCTGGCGTGCCATTGGCCCCAGCTCAGCCCAGGGTCTTTGATTGACTCGGGTGTGCCATTGGCCCCAGCAGTGCTGGGCGAGCCATTGGCCCCGGTCCGCCGGGTGAGCCATTGGCCCCAGCAGTGCTGCGTGAGCCATTGCCCCGGTCCGCAGGGTGCGCCATTGGCCCCAGTTCTGCTGGGTGAGCCAATGGCCCCGTGCTGCCGTGCCGTTGGCCCCAGCTTTGCTGGGCGAGCCATTGGCGCTGGTCGGGTGTGCCATTGGCCCCAGCTGTGCTGGGTGAGCCATTGTCCCCCATGCTGCGTTTTGGCCCCAGCTTTGCTGGGTAAGCCATTGGCCCCGCTGTTGGGTGTGCCATCGGCCCCAGCTTTGCTGGGTGAGCCGATGGCCCCAACAAGTGCTCGGGTGTGCCACTGGCCCCAGCTTTGCTGGGTGAGCCATTGGCCCCGCTGTTGGGCGTGCCATCGGCCCCAGCTTTGCTGGCCCAACCAGTGCTCGGGTGTGCCACTGGCCCCAGCTTTGCTGGGTGAGCCCTTGGCCCCGTGCTGTCAGCCATTGGCCCCAGCTTTGCTGGGTGAGCCATTGGCCCCGGTCATTGGCCCCAGCAGTGCTGGGTGAGCCCTTGGCCCCGGGTTTGCTGGGTGTGGCCACTGGCCCCATCGGGTGTGCCATTGGCCCCAGCTGTTCTGGGCACTGCCGGGTGAGCCATTGGCCCAGCTTTGCTGGTGAGCCATTGGCCCCGCCTTAACCCTAAGCCCAACCCCAAACCCTAACCCCTAGACCCTGAAACACTAAAACCCTAAAGTGGTAGTCAGACTCATTCTCGCCTAATTTAATTAATTAATTAATTTCGCGAAGGTCAGACAACATCGCTGGTCTCCTCGACGATGTGATGGCGCCGTGGAGGTGGAGGCTGGAGTTTGCACGCACCTTTCGGCCTGTGCTAGACTTGCTTGCAAGCTCCTTTGATCGTCTTGATGCTGCAGGCAGTTCGGACCATCAGCTAGTCAGTGTAAGACATCGGCGATGATTAGATTTCAGATTATGATTACAGTTACATGATGATGATCATTGATTCAGGAGTTTCATGACTCGTCTGACTGCGTGTGGGTTTGAGTGAGTCCTCTAGCTGTGTGTCAGACACATTTTTGGCCATGGTGCGCCAGCGCAAGCCCGAGCTCAAAGGGCTGCCGCACTTCAACACCAAGCGTCAGACTACGACGCCACTCCCGTCGGTGCCAGAGGAGGGCGCTCGTAAGACGACAGAATCGCCGACGGGCGCTGAGCCGAAGGACGACCCCATGGTTGGCATTGGTCAGACGGTTGGCATTGGTCAGACGAAGACGACGTCAAGGTCGCCGTCGAGGTCAAGGAGCCCCAGTCAGACGAATTACACTCCGACTGAGCCGGCTATGACGCCAACCTCGCCGGTGTCGTCACCGTTCGAGGAAAACCCCAGAGAGCGTCTGACAGTGATCGAGCCACGTCTGACGTTCAAGGCCGCGGCAAAGTCAGAGAGCGTGGCATCGGGATCGAAGGCAGCGGCGTCAGATCCAAGGGCCAGGGGCATTGATGCGGACCTGGTGTCAGACTCACCAATGCCAACCCCGGCAAAGGCCAAGCCGAAGACCCCCAGTGGGCCGTCAGACCACAAGGTCCAGGCCCCGGGTGCGAATAAGAAGAACCAGAACAGACGGTGGAAGGTCAAGCCGACCACTGCTGTCAGACGATGGTCAGCAGAACCATGGACATGGAGGCAGGGAGCAGCCCTCGTGACACTCTTTGTTATTTCGCTTTGGCGGGCACAAGACGAGGACGTTGTGGAGAATCCTTGTCTCAAGGTTTTGGATCAAACAACTTCTCAGTAGCTGCCGCAGGTCAGGTGTCAAGTATACTGCGCGCTGTCATTTTAATCAATGAAGCATGTCGCATTGACTTCGCCAGACAGACGAATCCTGAATCTCAGCGTGGCAACTAGTTAGCCGTCGTGGACTTTCTGATTCTGTGCTGTGGGAGTCTGTGACTGCCAGCTATGGTCAGAAGCAAGGTGGTCAAGCTTCCAACCCATTAGGTTGGTTGTGGCACACCTCGTCGAAGAACTAATCCCTTCCCCCTAACCTTACACCCCCCTAGTGTAAAAACTCCCGGGCCCCAGAATTTCGCGATTTCGGGCCCACAATTGAAAGTTAATTAAACACATGAGTGGGGGCTAGGATTGTATGAATTTTAATGGACCCCAAGATTACAGCTGTACTAAAGAGACCAGAGCTTTAGGGTTTACGGGTTTAGGGCTCAAGGCTAAAGCTTTAAAGGCTTGTCGCTTTTTAGGAGTGCCAAGCGCAGCCGACTGTCTTTCTGTACAGCTGGAAAATATGTGAAGCGCGCGTAGGCGCAGTAGTCAAGCGATCGCCGAAGAGCTGGTTTTTCTGTATCATTTGTTTGAAACCCAAGAAATCCCTCCTATGGTCCTTAAACTCGGCGGAGTGGTCTAGGTAGTGGTTCAGGTACTCTTTCGCGTGGGCTGGTACTAGTTCGGACCAATATCTGGAGGGGTGACCTCTGTGACGTGATTTGGTAAACTTAATGCGATCTTTGTATCCCGGAGAGAATACCACGTGGTGCATTGGGGGGTTTGGCGGAGTGGTCGTGGCTTGTATCAGGAGTTTGAACTGTCGGGATAGAAGTGTTTGCGAGTGAAGGGGGGGTTTGCCTGCAGCAGCCCATACAGATTTGTTGGAGATTCTGGAGTAGTATGATGCCTTTATGTTGATAGCTCGTCTGAGGTATCTGAAGTACCACCCGTCTATGGTTCTGAAGTGGTGTTTTTCCAGGGTGAGGGTTTCGAGGGCGTAGGTGTAAACCGGGACGATGCAGGCGTGGAAGATTCTAGATCTCACTGCACGGGGTATTCTACTTTTCCATACATGTTGTAGCTTAAGGAAGGCGGCGTGGGCTTTGGATCTGGCCGTGATGGCAGTTTTGGTAGGCTTATCCCAGGTAACTTGGGGACCAAGGTACTTAGTTTCAGTGTTATGGGGTACCTGAAAATTGTCTGCGTAGTGGAGATGTCCTGGTTGGGTAGGGTGGCGGAGTAGCTGGGTTTTCTCTAAGTTAAGTTGTAGTCCATACAGCGTGGCCTCTACCTGTACGTGTTTTAGAATCTCTTCTAGCTGAGAACTCGTGACGCCCATTAGAAGTGTATCATCAGCGTATTCTTTGTCGTAAACTGGCTTACCTATGGACCAGGTGTTTGAGGAACGCCATGTGTTCTGAGCCTAGCGTCTACATCAGATAAAAGTATTGCCATCACCATGATGAATAAGTAGGTGGGCGTCCCTGGCGAATTCCTGTATGCGGAGTAGCCCAGTACCTTGTGCCATCGGGGGCGGAAGTACAGAAGGTAGGGCATGTGTACATATCCCTAATGACTTCGAGATATACAGGGTGAACCCCCCGGCGGAGTAGTGCGATATGCATGGATTCGTGATCGATCTTGTCGAATGCTTGTTTCCAGTCTAAGAACAATAACTGAAAGCTTGTCGCTTTAGGGCTCAAAGTTTAGGGCTCAGGGCTTTAGGGTTTGGGGCTCGAGGTTTAGGGCTTAGGGCCTAACTCCCATTCATACGTGGATGCACCGAAACCCCCTCTAATATTAAAACAAAATCCCGGAAATCAGTTTTTATGTTAGGGAGGGGGGGGACGGGCGTTTAATATTAGGGGGAAGGGATTACCCAGCCAAGCCGCCAAAGTGAGACTCCAGGAAGCGATCAGTGTCAGAAAAACAAGACGCCAATCAAGCCATGCAGCAACCACGAGACTGCAGAAGACGAGTCAGACGGTGTAAGCGCTCACATGAACGTCGATGCTCTTGTTGGCGGAAAGAGTGTCAGACAGCCTGTGACACGGAGTCAGACTGGCACAGGGAGTCAGAGTCAGACTGGCAGCAAATCCCCATCCGTGAAGACGAAGCAGTAGCCGGGAACGAAGAGTCACAGAAACAGTTTGGATGATCGCATTATCCGTCAGAAACGTTTCCTCATGTCAGTGACGGCCATAAGCAGAGTCGTCAGAGAACTGTTGCACACGATGAAGCCGGAAGATTGGCGAATCGCTCCCGCTGCTATCAAACAACTGCACGAGGCGTCAGA